TGAAATCATATTATTTGCAGGAAAATGATTAGAACTGGAAGGTATCATGTCCAGTGAAATAAGCCAGACTCAGGAAGTCACAGACCTGATATTTTCTCTCATAGGAGAAACCTGTTTTTTAAAAAAGATTACATTGAAAGTAGAAGGGAGACTGTCAGAGAGACCTTAGAGAAAGGGAAGGAGATCTATAAAAGGGGAGGGAAGAAGGAGAGTTTTGACAAAATGTATCCATGTGTGAATATGCCAAAATAAAACCAAGTCTGTGTAACTTATGTGCACAAATTGAAACAAAAATTGAAAAAGCTGGGGAAATTAAGAGGTGTTAGAAAGTTACTTTGTTTTAATTGAGGAAATTCAGAAGAAAATCTGTGTCTTCATATTCATGTTTTAAATAACATTTGTGTTTGAAGTATGAACATGTTTTAAGTCACATTCGTGTTTGAAGTGTGAACATCAAATTTTGGAAGATTAATCTCTCAAGATTTTCTGAACCATTTAGTGTTTGTGTTAGTGACATATAGAATGCTGGTAGTATAGTTAGAAATACCTGTTTTGCAAATGACCTTCACAGGACTTCTTTTAGCCCTTATGCCAGAGCTGGCTTGCCCTCTACACTGTTCTAAGCTCACTAATAGGAAGTTGCTCAGATCTCAAGGGTTAGAAGAATTTATATCCTGCTATTATTTTTTTCTCTTTTTGTGTTAAATTGGTTATTTGTGCTCAACATCATATAAATATTCTTTGAGTTAATAGGATCTATATATATAGTGGATTGAACTGAAGGTCTTCTCATTGAACTAACCTTTTCCTTATTTCTGAATTCTTGGGTGGTTTATAGTTGATCTTAAAGAATATATTTTCTTGAATTGGGAATTATCTATGTTGAATTGCCTTTTACAAATGGGCCTACAAAATCTGTACCAATCTTATTTTTTGCATGTGTTTTAAATATGTCATTAGAGACCTAGGCATGTTACACAAGCTGGTAATACAGTCTGGGAGGCTGAGGCAGGAGGGCCATGTTGGAGTCCAGCGTAGGCAACCTAGCAAGGTCCTATTTCAAAGTAAAAGTTAAAAAACAGCTGAAGATGTAGCTGAGTGTGAAGGCCTTGGGTTTAATACCCAGTACCATTACCACCACCGTCTCCCCCACCTATCCCCCCCGCCAAAAAAAAGATACTAGAGAAACACTGCCTAGTTACTGAAATAGGAAAAAAACCAAAATATTTTAGTGGCTGCAAATGGGAAATGTTATGCAGTTTTATATTTGACAGTCAGGCCATGTAGACATGTTTTATTTATGTCATCGCTCTCTTTATTTCCTCATCGTTACTTCTTTTGCCCCAGAGTATTCAGTAATAGTTTTATATATGCTTGCTCTAACAGTTTCTGAATTTACAAAGGGAATCAGGAAGGGAAGCAGCCTAGCAGAAAGCATTGAATCTGTAATCTGGAGTGCTCAATAAAGATCAAATGGGACTACTTTTAAAAGGGTTATTCTTGAAATATAGATTCTATAATAAATAAATACATACTAAAGATACCCTAGTCTCTTTGTTTCTTTGGTGTTACCTCATTTTTTTTTTTCCTTTTCAGGAAACATCCATAAGATCCATTGATATTTGTACCAAAGAGTGTGTAAAAACTCTTCCCATCCATGCCTCCTATTTTATGGAGCTGTACAATCATTATTTTGGGGGAAAAGTGGCTGTATATTAGTTTTAGATTGAAGGAAATACAATAGTATTAAGATTGTGTTAATTTTGAACTCATAGACCTGTTTAGGAAGTAACAGTAAAAACCTTTAGGGACTCCGTTTAGTAGTATGAACCAAGAGGACTCAAATGTGCCTTTTAACCTAGAAACTCTACTTCTGAGACTTTTTAAAATCTTTTATTAGTATGTGTGTGCAGTACATAATGATTACATTCCATGGTACATGGGGAGTTGGTCCATGTATAACACATCTTAATACTTTGTTCATCCTTGTACCCCTACCTTCCATCTCTTGATGCTTTTCCCATTTGAGAAATATCTACTTAGCTAAAAACCAGCTAGCTATCTTTTATTTTTCTGTTCATTTATATGTGCAGTTCCTCATGTAAGAGAAGCCATTCATTATTTAAGCTTTTGTGTCTGATTTATTTCACTTAATGTGATGATTCAACGTGCATCCATTTTCCTATAAATAGCTCAAGTAGAGTCATCATTGTGTATAAATGGGACCCTTTCTCTCTCCATTGCTCTGTTAATGGACATAAAAGCCACTTCCAGGTTAAGCTGTTGTGAATTGTGCTGCTATTAATACGGATATGGATATATCACCATAGTATGATGCCTTTAACGCTTTTGGGAAGAAAGGAAATACCTGGGTTGAATGGAATTTCTAATTTTAATTCTCTGAGGAATGTTCCCACTGATTTTCATAATGGTTACACAATTTTACATTCCCATCAACAATGTAGAAGTGTTCTATTTTCTCCTGTAGCCTTGCCAGCATTTTTTTTTAATTGATTTCTTGATGGTGGCCATTCTTCCTGGGATAAAATGGAATCTCAGTGTTGTTCTAATTTGCATTTCTATAGTGGCCAGAGAGGTTGAAAATTTCGTCTTGTATCTGTTGGCCATTCATACTTCTGAGAAATGCCTCTTCATTTCAGTTACCCATTTTTTGTTTGAGCCTTTTATATTTTGGTAAGTGATCTAATTTTTTGAGTTCCTTATGTATTCTAAATATTGGTCTACTGTCTGAGGAGTAGCTGGCAGATATTTTTTGCATTCTGTAGGTTGTCTTTTTCACTCTTAGTTTTATCGCTGTGCAGAAATTTTTTTAATCTGTTGTGATGCCATTTGTTGACTTTTAGTACTGTTTCTTGAGCAACCAGTGTTTTCAGAAAGTCCTTGCCTCTGCCTGTCTGTAAGAGTTTTACCTATTTTATCTTTCACCATATTTAGATCTTTTTAAATTTTTTTAAATTTTAAATAGAATAAAAAACAAGAAATACAGAGATTCAAAACAAGATGATAGGAATATCATAACAATAGTTATTACATTGCATAGTATTGTCTTCAAAGTAGTTGCTGAGATTACCAGATATAGACATGTAAAATTCATCAAATAATATAAGCACTAACTGTTCCTTTCAATAAACTAATAGAAATTAGTAGTACAATTATCTTAGCTATCTTGTGTATATATTTATATACTTCCTTCTTTTCTCCTTTCCCTAATCCAAGTTGTTCTTTCCTTTTGAGCAGTTTCTTTCCCTTTCACCATATCTATAGTTTTCAGTATGTATAAGTCTCAGTTGGAAATTATTTTATTTTAGGCCTTATGATACTTCATCCCATCCTCTCCTGGCCTTTAAGGTCTGTGTTAAGAAGTCTGCTGTAACTCTAATGGGTTTACCTTTATAGTTGATTCATTGCTGTTCAGTGACAGCTTTTAAGATTTTGTACATGTGTTGGACTTCTGCCATTTTGACTATGATGTATAATGGGGAGGTGTTTTTTATATATTTTTTATTGCCATTTTACATGCTTCACTTATCTCTATGCTTTTTCTCTTTATTTGGAAAGTTTTCCAGTATTTTTTAAATAGCTTTTATATGCCATTTGTGGTATCTTTAATTTTTTTATTAATTCCAATTAACCTTAGACTAATCTTTGTGTCAGCTAGCAGATGTTGGATTCATTTGAATGTTCTTTTGTTTTTAAGACATCTCTCTCATTGATCACTGACAGCAGTCTTCCAGTTTTGAATTCTGTCCTGACATTTTTTACTTCTGCCCATACTTTCAATAAAATAATCTCCTGGATTTCTGTTGGTACCTTTTGTGTTATTTTGTTTGCTACTCATTCAAATTTTGTATCATTTTGCTTTTTAGGCCCATTATATACTTAGTTATATCTTGTTTAAGTTTGCCCATTGCCTTATTGATCTATTTTTTTTTAATCTCTGTTATTCTTACAAGTAACTTGGCTGTGTGGTTTTTGATTGCCTCCCTTTTACTGTCCCATCGATGAGCTTTGGAGGAGTTGGGAGTTTTTGGAGGCATTTTGTTATCTTCTCACATTTTTATCTTTTTGTTTTGGGGTTGACACTTTTTGGTCTGTTATAATGGAAAACTACATTGCTGGTATGAAGACGTCTGTAATTAAAGTCTGCTTTCAGTGATACCTTATGGGCACTGCTAACTAGTATCCTTTGCCTCTGTTCCAGGATCTGACCACCTCTGTTTATTTAGGATGGGAGGCTGTAGCATATTGGTTCCACTACCTAGTTCTTTGGGAATAAGTACATTATTATTAATTACACCAAGGCAATCCAGATATTGGCATCCAGAGTAAACCAATTAATAAGCAGCAATATTTCACCTTGGTTATAGTAGTAAAATCAGCCATAATGACAGCATCAAAGAACAAGTAAATATCAACATACCCTAAGAACCAATAACGTACCATGCTTAACCATAAAAAAGAGATCTATAATTATAGTGTAAACACTAAAACAAACCAAGCATTAACCTAAAGGATATATCCACTAAATGGAGCAACTTAACCTTTACTATACCTCTACAGTACTCAACAATAATAGTGTAGCGTTAACTATGTAAAGATCCAGAGGCCATTATAATTACAGTACTAAAGGTAGAAGTGGGTGGGGAACTGAAGAATGAAAAAAGAAAACTGAAAAAATATCAGTGGGAGATGAGAAGGAAGAGAGAAAAGTGAGATAGAAGATGCTGTTGAGTAAAAGGAAATAGTATTGGAAACAGTCACAGAAAAGAATGAAGATGAAATGAATCAGCAAAATATAGGAAATAAAAGATAACAAAAAATTGGGAAAAATTTTTAAAAATCTATTAAAAACAAAATGGGAGAAAAAAAACAACCCATCCTTAAGGAAAAAAAAAAAGGAAAAAGGAAAGTAGTAAATAAAGATTGAAGAAAAATTTTTTTGGTGTTTCATTTCATTTCAGTGAATGATTTCTTTCCAGGATCTGCAGCCTTGTCATCCAGCAAGTCACAGTTCTCTCCACCCAGCTTTGTGGCCTGTGGGTTTGTGAGGTGCCCCCCATGGACCAAAGTCCGTATTTGTTCATCCAGATGCTGGTAACTGTCTAATCCAAGATGTATCTTTGCCCACATTGGTAGATCAGAAACACAGTTAACCCTCTAGTCTCTGCTGGATGTAGGCCGCAGATGGGTGTTCAAACAGACTGTTGGCCTTCATGTTGCCACGCATTGGGCCTGGTTTCTCACTAAAGAAGGCAGGGCTCAGCTTGGGCTTAAACTTCTCGGGGTGTATGTGTAACCTGTATCCTTTCTATGGAGGTTTCTCCATGGCTATCTCTTACCCAGTCAATTTGGAAAGTTACCACAGAAGTCCCTAAAGCTGCTGCCCAGGTCCATACTTTCCCACTGTCTGGGAGGTGGCCTCATCCAGGATCTAGTCATTCAGTTAGTCCACTCCTCTGCTGCACCACGCAAAGGGGAAGAACATCGTAGAGCTGAATGGGGCTGGCAGTGGTCTTGGCCTGTAGTTGCTGCATTTTCCTGTGGCCAAAGTATTTACCATGAAGAAATTGTCTTAAGTATAGAAAATGGTTATTCACAATGGTGTTTATTATGGAATTAATTCTAAGGGGAAAAAAATGGAGAAATGTCTCTTAAGAAAATGTTCAAGGAATCCCAGTGAACCAGCTGTTATGTATCCATTTAGAATGTTTCTTAGGACAGTAAAACAACCTGGAAGATTTTTTTATATACAATATTCAGTAGTGAAAAGATAGAGTAGAACATTTTCTATTTAATATAAATTGATAAAATATACTTGTTTCTGGAGAAAATAAGTATATTAAAATACAGGCAGTGATTATGTTTGAAATGGGAATGATATTCTTTTTCTTCAGTTTCTTTTTTAAAATGGTTATGTATTATTTTTATAATGAGAAGAAAGAAGACAAAGCTGATACCTCCCTGTTAAAAACATTTTCCTTACAGCTTTAATTAGCAGTAGTAAAAGTCAGTTTGCAAGCACTGGAAGATTTTTGTAAAGGAACTTTATTCAGCATGGACTCTCTACCAGAAGACTTTGTTGTGAGGTAAGGGATGGGTTGACACAAACCAATTAGTTTGGTTTTTCTCCGGTACCGGGAACCGAACTCACGACCTTGCGCTTGCCAGTCAGGCGCTTTTGCCGCTGAGCTAAATCCCCAGCCCCGACACAAACCAATTAGATTTGTTATATTCCGAAGACTTGTCATTTAACATCCACAATACCTTGGGAAGCTCATGTGAATAAGATACTCTTATGCTTTAAGATAATTTAACATCTTTGATTAGACTGGATGTAGACTGGGTAAAATCTCATTTGAGAAAAGTTCTCTAGGAATTATACCCTGGGTCAGTGATAGTGGACACCTAGCTGTGGCACAGCATGCCATAGTTTTGCCATCACAACCCTGGGTAAAGAACAAAGAATTGAAAGATGTGCTGCATCTTGTTGTACTTGGGACATTCTCACTGAAATACTGTAACAGTACTTACATGGACTTACTATGTATGGGTATTGTTTTTAATGCTTTTATAACTATTCATATACACCTCATGCAATTCTGCAAAGTGGGTACTCTTATCCTCACTTTATAAAGGTTAATTTAAACATAATATAGAATATCTTAATGAATCATTCATTTGGGCCTAGGCCAGATGGCAGTCTGTCCTCTAGCCAGAACAAGTTCAGTCTGCCTGTACATTTCCCATATAATACAGAACAGCAAGTTAGTATTGGCGATCTTCCACCTTGAGTTATCTCATATAGTAAGCAATAATGATCTAGTATTTCACAAGCATTTACTGATGCCGTGGTACATAGGGAATAAGGGCAAAGGTAACATTTGTGCACTTAGAATTTATAATGTAATGGGAAAATATAAAAAATATATCTGTAAAGTACATAAGTATAAATAGACATGCCGCGGCAGCATATAGAAAGGAACAGTAATTACACATTTGAGATTGAGTTTCCACAAAGTGATACTTAAACTGGTATTTAATGGACAAGAAACATTTTGATGAATGTGGAAGCAAAGGGGATGAAAGTCATTTAGCTATAAAACAGCAAGAAAAAGTAATTGTTGGGGAATATTTTGATGTCATGTTGAGGGGGGAGTTTTATTTTGTGAAAAGATGTAAGTTAGGGTTACACAGCAAAATTTGTTATGGAGTCTAGGTACTTGATTGAGAAGTTCTCAAACAATTTGCAAATCTGAATGTAACAGAAGTTCACAGTTGATTTTAATATACATCTGGGAACGAAAACGAGTTACGGAGTCAGTGATCATGAATGGAATTAGTAAATAGAGTATTCAGTTGAGAACGTTTTACACTGACTTTGAAAGGCTTCAGGAATTATTGCGATATTTTTTATTTTTTGGTAACAAGCATGTTTCTCATGTTCGTTTTTGAAGAGAGGCTTAGAAGTGGTATAAGAAAATTAATGGGTTAATGGACAATTTGTCTTTACAATGACACTATAAACCACTGAAAGTGAGAGTAGAAATTATTTTTTTTCTGTGTATAAATCATCTTTCATTGAAATTTTTACTAGGATTCTGAAAATATGAAAAACACTGTAGTATTCATCTTTCCCAGTTTTCCTTGAGAAAATCACCTAGTATATATATAATAGATGTTTAATGATTATCTGTCAAATGAATATCTAAATGTAAAATAAAATAGGTAATATTTGTAAAGTACACTTCTGAATAAATCAGTCAACATGTTTTAGTTTTTTATGTGCTATTATGCAGAATTATTAGACCATATATATCAAATGTAATCTTTTATTACACTTTCTATATGATGGTACAAAGGATACTGTATAACTAAAATTTTTATTTAATCATATAGCACTGCTCATGTTCACATTTGAATCAATGTAAAAAAGAAAAACCTCTCAGTCTATTCCTGGTTACCAAAACAGTTAATAAGTTCTAAAAATTCTATATCAATTTTAAAAACTATTTTAGAAAGCTGGACAATTTGAAGTCCAGGAGCCTCAAACAAAAAATGATCTATATAAGATAGATCTTTTTCTTAAACTTTGAGATAGATCAATCACAAAACATTGATCTTTTCAAGGATTGTCTTTACCCAGATATACTAATGTTATTTTTCCCCATTACTTTTTCTGTTGTATGTTTGTTAAAAATAGTTTTGCTTGGTGAGGTGACACATCCATGTAATCTCAGCACTCGGGAGGCTGAAGCAGGAGGATAACTGTGAGTTTGAGGCCAGCCTGGGCTACACAGTGAGTGTGTGGCCAGCCTGGATTACATAGTGAGACCCTGTCTCAAAAAAAAACAAATGAAAAGATCTGAATTTTTTTGTTTGTTTTTATCAGCTTGCTATTTTCTCTAATATCGTTCAATAAGGGCTTAACATAATTTTCTTTTTTTCACTAGGGTCCCTGAACAGATACACACCTACTACCATTGATACACACTTCTGAACTTTTAGACAAAAATTCAGTTGTTACACTCTTTGTTTATTTGTGAGGGGGTCTAGCTCTGCAGTCCTGGCTTGTGTCAAATTGCAGATTCTCTTGCTTTGGCTTCCAAATGCTGGGGTTGCAGGTGTGCTTGATCATCACACTTAGCTTTCACTTGTAGATTCTTTCTTTCCTATTTCCATTTATAATCTTTGTCAGGAGATGCTCTTTAATAAATTTTTTCATTTAAAATAGGGATCCTGCTGTGGAGGAGCAGCCTGAAGAGGAAACTGAGAATAAAGTAGAAAAACCAACCATTCAACTGGTAAGAGAAATTTAATTTTAGTAATGTTTTGATTAATTAATAATAGTGTGATGGTAATATAGTCAGTTCCGTTATGTTGAAAAGTTTTGAATGAGTCCATTTTCCTGCTTTAATAAATAAAGTCATCATAAGTAAATCTTTCTTGGGTAATTGATACAATATAAGGTTAATACCCTAAATACCAATTTCTCTTCTTAATGTAAGTTAAAATGAATAAAATAGAATTGATTTGCCTGAATCATGTCAAACATCAGTTTTAAGAAATCTTTCAGTTTTCTTTCTTTTTTGCGTTGCTGGTGGTCAGCTCATGCAAGGGCTCTATCACTGAATAACATTCCTAGTACTCACATTTGTCTTTCAAAGGGAAAATGAGCCGCTTCTCAAAATAAATGAATAAGTAAATAAGTAAACAAATAAGAAGAGGAAAGAAAAAAAGGAGCAGGACTATGATGTACTTCCATGATAGAGCAGTTACTTAGGATGTATAAGGCCTTGAGTTCAGTCTGTACTAAAAATAAAATAAAATTGTATTTTCAAGTATAATACGATGTAAGTATTTAACAAGCATGAAGATTATACCATTTCCTATTGAGATATATTTATCCTTAAATTTTGCTTATGTGTAAATTTTTTAACTAGTATCAAATGATTTTCCACTAACTGTAAAATTGACCTTTAGTTTGAAATAAGTACTGTACTGATAATGCTTATATTTTATAAGGATTTTTCAAATCTATGAAATTTTATAACTTTTTGGAAAAATTTCATACCTACAGAAAAGTTCCACACATAATGCAATGACTATCTACCTGCATACTTTTCATGAAGATTTAGTAAACTTAACATTTTAAAAATGGTTGGGTATAATTTTCATGCATGGAATGCCATACAATGTAAGGAATAGTTGGTAGACATTGATAAAGATGGAAGAATATTAATTTAAGGCTCAAGGCCAGGAGCAGAGGGTAAGCAGTAGTCCTGAACAGGCTTTATTGATACCAGATCACCTTCCTGTGTAATTCTAGATCTGTTGGAAACCTGACAGTCAGATTCACCTCAAAAGTGGACATTTTTCATAACTCAAACTCTTTATGGCTTCCACATAAGAAACTGCTGGCTCAGGTTTTTTAATCATATTCCCAAAGTATCTTGTTTGGATACAACTTGTTGAAGGAAGGCTGGCATCTCTCTGTTCCAGGCTTTTTACCCATTTGTCTTTCCCACTGGTTCTTCATAATTAATGTTAATGGACAGTCCAGCAGGATTTAACTATATGGTTATAGCTAACCGTTAGCACTGGCCATATTAAATCTATAAAAATATATGTTCAAATTTGGAAGATTATTATTACTATTGGCAGTTGGAATGATTCCATTTTTGTTTGCAACTGAAACTCTTTATTCATTTTCAACTTACTATAGCTTTAGTAGCTGGAACAGTCTAATTGTAAAAAGCAATCATATATATATATAGCTTTCATATTATGTAAAATAATTGGTGTAATAATAATTGGTTTCTTGAGAACAGAGAGAATTTATCATTTTTACTTATATTTTGTGGTTCTGTCATAATGACCTATGTACGGTTGGACCTTTGTTCTTTTTAAAATACTTTTTCTAGTTTTATTAGTAGAGGAAATGAGAATGTATGTAAAACTATAACTTTTTAATGGATGAATATCTTACAGGACAAACAGAAAAAGGACATACCTACTGATCTTGTCCCTGTTAACCTACTATTAGAGGTGAAGAAATTATTAAATGCAATTAATACTCTACCAAAAGGTGTGGTTCCTCACATTAAGAAGTTCTTACAAGCAGATTTTTCCTTCCAGACAATGCAGGTAACGTCATAACATCTCTTAGGGTTATACAGGGTAGCTAACGTCCTTGAAATCTCCGCCTTACCTTTTGTAAAGGGCTTCAACATCAACCTGGAGCATAGACTTTCATTAAGTGGAGTTAGTTGGTGCAAGCCTTTAAAGAATTAGTGCGGGTGCAGGTTTGTAACATTAATAAAGTCTGCTATTTACTTCCATGCCATGATAACCTCTGAATAGTTTTTGTGGGTAACAGGACTGCCTTTGGCTTCCTAATTTGGAAAACATTGACAAAGTTTGTCAAAATGTAAGAAAAAATAATATCCAAACTTTTGGTTTTATGAGTGAAATAAATATTTTAGAAAATATATAATCTATTTTTGTCTTAGAAATAGTTTTCCTAGGTAATAATTTGTTCTAATTTGTATGGCAGTGGAACCATTTCTTACATTAAGATGTTATCCAAAGTTAAGAAAATGATCTCTTTTCCTTGTGGCAATTAATTAAGGGGGGATTAAGATACCATAGATGTCTTGAAAAGGCTGTATTTCTTCTTTCTATGAGAAAATACATCATTAATTACTTCCTTGAAAGAAATGAATGGCTACAATTAAAAATTCAAACCCTGAAACTATCTATAAGACTTTATGTATAATTGTTACCTTAACTGAGATAATTTATCACAGTATGAATGAATCTGTCTTGAATTGATACAGTATTGCTGCCATTTTCCTCTTATATTTTGTACATTACACAGAAATAATAAGAAACAAAGATCAGTAACTTTTAGATATTCAAACATTAGCCAATTAGAAGGTAAAAATGGAAGAAAGATATTTATTTATGATAGTAAAAATATGAAATACCTAGGAAAACACTCAAGAAATGTATAAGATGTACTAGTAGATTTCAGTTTGTCTTGAACCACTCACATGAGAATATTTAGTACTAAAGAATCAAAAGCTCTTAGGATGTGTTGGGAATTTACATTTTAGCAAGCATTCACACTGATGTTATTCTTAAGTATAGCATCAGTACTCCTTACCAGAGCAAATAAAAACTCTCTTAAAGAAAAGGAAGCCCAAGTGAAAAATACTCACGTAGGAAAAAAGAATATAATAATGCTCTCAGACTTACATAATTTTTTTTTTTTTTTTTTTGAGACAGGGTCTTGCTATGCAGTTCAGGCTGGCCTTGAGCTCACTTTGTAGCCCAGGCTGGTCTTGAACTCACAACAAACCTCCTGCCTCAGTCTCCCGCCTCAAGCCTCCCGAGTGCTGGGATTATAGGCGTGCACCACCATGTCCGGTTTATAAATTAAAATATGCTAATATCACATAATTCCAACTTTTAAAAGATTTTTTCTTATTGTTACTAAAAGCTAATTTGAAACTTCAAAAGAGAAATAAGGAAAACAACCAAGAAAATTATGTAGCAGAAGTGTAGGAAATAAAGGCCTTGAACATTCCTGCTTACACATTAAAACTAGGTTATATTAATTCCTCTTGACCGTTCACACAGACAAGTATAGAAAATAGATCACAAAATGCAAATGTAGTGGGCCAAATACATAAAGAGCTTTTATGAATTACATAATTAAAATCTGTAATTTTAAAAAGGAAATGGACAAATTAATTTCAGTGGTAGATTTAAACATACTTCTGATAATTGAACTAGACACAAAATTAGTAATATGGCAACCTTGATGTAATTAAGACATACCATAAACACAAAAAACACTACTCCCAATAATGGCAGAATATACATTATTTTTTATTTTTATTAGTAATATGTTTGCTATACATAATGATTTCACTCATTGTGGGGAGTTATTACATATACATAACACATTTTAATTCTTCATCCTATTACTCTCCTATTCCCCCCTCCCTGCTTCTCTTGGTTTCCTTCCCTTTTGCAAAAGACCTATCTCCTATTATTTTGCTTTTTATTTATATTTTCAATTACTCATACAAGAGAAACCAGGCCATATTTAAACTTATAGGTATGATTTATTTCACTTAACATTATGATCTCAAAGTGTATCCATCTTCCTACAAATTAATCAATTTATCTTTTCTGGCAGAGTAGTACCAGGCACTGTGTATAAATGCCACATTTTCTTTATCCATCCATCTGCTGATGAACGTATGGACAGCTTTCAAGATTTTAACTGTCGTGAGTTGTGCTGCTGTAAACATGGGTATACATACATCACTATAATTTGATGTCTGTAAACCTTGCAGCAAGATGCGTAGAAAAAAAATACCTGGCTCAAATAGAATTTCTAGTTTCAGCATTTGTAATTATTTGATTTCTTCATGATAGCCATTGTTTTTGGGGTAAAGTGGAATTTCCAATTTTAATATGTGTTCCTGTAATGTCCAGATATGTTCAACCTTTTTCCATGTATTTATTGGCCATTCATACTTTTAAGAAGTGTCTGCTCACTTCAGTTGCCCGTTTTTGATTGGGTCTTTGCAGGGTCTAGAATTTTGAGTTCCTTACATATTCTAGATATTAGCCCTCTGTCTAAGAAATAGCTGGAAAAAAGTTTTTCCCAATGTGTAGGTTGTCTCCTCACTCTATTGGTTCTTTCCTCTGTGATATACAAACTTAAATGTCCATATTTAAATTATTTAAAAATTATTCTATTATTTAAGTTTCTTCATGATCTCATTTGTTGATTCTTGGGGCTATTTCTTGTGCTATTGGGGTTCTTCTGTTCAGAAAGTTTCTGCCTATTCTTATGTCTTCAAGAAGTTTACTTTATCTTCCAATAGTTTAGTTTATCTTCTAATAGATTATTCCAGTTTTAACATTTAGATCTTTGATCCATTTTGATTTTTGTTTAATACATTGTGAGAGATACAGGTCTACATTCAGTCTCCTACATGTGCATAACCAGTTTTCCCAGCATCATTTGTTAAAGAGGCTATCTCTTTGCTGGCATATGTTTTTGGCCCCTTTTTCAAAGATCAGATAGCCACATGTGCCTGGAGTTGTTTGTACATCTTTTTTTCCCTTCTATTCATTTGTGTGTGTGTGTGAGTGTGTGTGTGTGTGTGTGTTGTATATGTCCTAGTACTATGCTGTTTTTATCGTAAGCTTTGTAGTAAAGTTTGAAGTCTGGAATTGTATTAGCTTTTCATTTGCTCTTGCTGGCCAGGATTGCTTTTGCTATTCTGAGTCTCTTGTGCCATATACATGTTAGGATTTTTTCTCTAGTTCTGTGAAGAATGCTGTTGGTATTTTGATTGGGATTGCATTATATCTTTTGTATATCAGTTTTGGAAGTATGGCTATTTTGACAGTGTTGACCTGCTGATCCAGGAACAGGAGATATCTTTCCATTTTCTGATGTCCTCTTTAATCTCCTTTTTCCACAGTAGTATGGTTTTTGGTGTAAAGGTCTTTCACTTCCTTGCTTACGTTAATTCTTAAATATTTAATTTGCTAGGTGCTATTTGGAGTAGTATTCTTTTCCTAATTTCTTTCTCATTTAGCTAATTAGAGATACAAATGAAGTGTACAAATTGACTTATACCTCAAAATAATTGCATGCATTCCTGTTCTCTCATTGAAAAATGCTACTCAGGGGCATAGAAACACTATTGATTTTTGTGTGTTTATTTTGTATCCTGCTACATAGGTGAATTTGGTTGTACATTCTAGGAGTCTTGGTGGAATTTTTTGGATCTCTGTGTAGAAGATCATGTTGTCTGCAAATAACATTAATTTGAATATATATATGAATGTACACATATATATGTCTTTTATTTCTTTTTCTTGATGATTTCCTGATTTCTCCGGCTAATGTTTCTTGAACTATATTGAGCAGAAGTGGTGATAGTAGACATCCTTGTCATGTTTTTTATTTTAGTGGAAACACTTTCAGTAGTCACCTTTTTTTTTTTTTTTTTTTTTTTTTTGGTTTTTCTCCGGTACCGGGAACCGAACTCACGACCTTGCGCTTGCCAGGCAGGCGCTTTGCCGCTGAGCTAAATCCCCAGCCCCAGTAGTCACCTTTAATATGCTGATGGCAGTAGGTATTTTATAAATGGCTTTTATCAGATTGAGATAAGATCCTTCTAAACCTAATTTCTTTAGGGTTTTTATTGTGACTAGATGTTGGATTTTGTAAAAGGATTTTTCTGTGTCGGTTGAAATGATCATGAGAATTTTGTCCTTTTCTTTTAAGTAATGTATTTAAATTCATTGATTTATGTATGTTTAATCATCCTTGCATCCTGGGATGAAGCCTACTTGATTATGCTGTATTATCTTTTTGATGATTTGTTGCATTCTGCTTGCCAGTATCTTGTTAAGGATTTTTGCATCTATGTTCATTAAAGACATTGGCCTATAGTTGTGATTTTTGCTTTTTGTTTTGGAATCATGGTAATCCTAGCTTCCAGGAATGACTTTGGGATTACCTTTTCCCTTTCTAATTTGTTAAAGAATTTGAGGAGTATTTGCATTAGATTTTCCCTAAAGTTCTTGTAAAATTCAACAGTGAATCCCTGGAGACCTGTGTTATTTTTAAGTTAGTATGTTTTTTATCTTTCTTCAACTTTGTTGCCCGTTATTGGATTGTTCAGGGTTTTTATATCTTGTTGATTCAGTTTTGGTAATTCGTATGTGTCTAGGAATCTATCCATTTCCTCTAAATTCTCCAGTTTATTAGATTACAGGTTTTCAAAGTAGTAATAATCTGGATTTTGGCAGTGTCCATTGTGATTTCACCTTTTTCATTTCTAATTGCATTTATTTTGGTCCTTCCTTTTTTGTGGTTAATATTGGCTAGATGGTTGTGTGCTTTATTTTTTTTAAAGAACTAGCTATTCAATTCACTGATTCTTTGTATTTTTTTTAGTCTAGATTTCATTGATTTCTATTCTGATCTTGATAATTTTTATCCTTGTACTGGCTTTAGATTTGGATTGTTCTTACCTTAAGGTACATCAAGTCATTTGTTTCAGTTTACTCTATTGTTCTGATGTGGGCATTCACAGCTATAAATTTCCCTCTTAGGACTGTTTCCATTGCTTTCCATAAGTTCTGGTGTGCTATACTGGCATTATTGTTTAATTCTAGGAACTTTCTAATTTCTTCTGTGACCCATTGATTATTCATGAGGTATTGTTTTCATACACTTGTATAACTTCTGTGGTTTCTTTTGCTTTTGATTTCTAGTTTCATTGAGCTATGATCGGATATTATGCATGGGATAAGATTTTTTTTGCATTTACTTAAGAGTGCTTTATGGGCTACTATTTGGTCTGTTTTGGAGATATGTGTTGATAAAACTGTATTCTGTTGGGTGGAACACTCTGTAGATAATTAAGTATTTGTTTTAAGGTTTGGTTCAGTTCTGATATTTGTGGGTGTTTTGTCTGATTGATTTGTCTATTTGTGACAATGGGGTATTAAGGGCTCCCAGTATAATTGTGTTGGAATTTTATCTGATCTTTTATGTCCAGGATGTATTTGTCTTTTAATGATGGATGTGCCATTCTTTACTGCATATATGTTTATAATTGTTATTTCTTCCTATTACGTTTTCCCTTAACAAATGTCTAGTGACCTTCTTTACCTCTTCTGAGCAGTTTTGGCTTGAAATCCACCTTGTCAGAAGTTAGGATAGATACTCCTCCTTTTTCCTAGAGTTTTTTTTTCATAGAGTTGTATGGAATATTATTTTTCATCCTTTAAATTTTAATCTATAATTTTTATTAAATATATTTTTCTTTATACAACATTTTATTAGGTTTTATTGTTTGACCCATTTCGCTAACCTTTCTTTTGTTTGGGGAATTGAGACTATTTACATCAAGAGTTATTACTGAGAGGCACTGATTTATTCATGTTGTTGCTTTATTTTCCTGTGGCTGATTTCCTTTTTTTCCCCCCTTTTTGCTTAAGTACTGACCCTGGTTGGTGTATTCATTCTATTATATTTTGCATTATTACCTTCATTTTCTCTGTCTAGGATATTCTTGATTGTTTTTTCTAATGCTGGTTTCATAGTCATGAATTTCTCTAGGTGTTCTTTATCACAGAAATATCTTATTATTCCATCAATTTTGAAAGATACTTTTGCAGGACATATAAGTCTGAATTGAAAGGTTTTTTTTTTTTTTTTTTTTTTTTTAGGGCTTATAACACTTCACTCCAAGCTTTCCTGGCCTGTTAGGTCTATGTTGAGAAGTCTGCTGTCGTTCTAATGGATTTAACTTTATTAGTGATTTATTACTTTTCAATGACAGCTTTTTGGATTCTGTTCCTTTTGTATTTTGACTGTTGTGTCATGAGGAGGAGTTTTTAAAAATCTTGGCTATTTTGAATCCTATATGATTCTCTTAGCTGTGTGTTTAATTTTTCCCATATATTTGGAAAGTTTCCCACTATTATTTTGTAAACAGATTTTGTTAATAATACCTCTTATTTGACAGGCAGATGAATGCTTTTTGTGCTTTGAGGAAATAGTTACAAGCAGATTTATCATGCTGCTTAAAAATAAACCAATATTAGAACAATGTGTATGGCTGGTGTGAATTTTTTAAAGTAATTTTTTTATCTCTCTTTTCTAAATTTTCTACAATGAACATGCATTAATTTGTGTAATATAAATATATGTAGATATTTGTTCTAACTTATAGACATTTTTAACTAAATTGTTTTTCCACAGAGAGAAGTTGCAGCCAATAGCCAGAATGGGGAGGAAATCGTTCCTGCTTTAACTTTACGTTTTTTGATAACACAACTGGAAACAGCTCTTAGGAATATTCAAGCTACTAACTATACTGTAGGTATTTTCTCTCTCAAAGTTTTATATAATGGATCTGTGTAGCATTTTTCAATGAGAGAACGAGAATGTGTGCTTATTTTGAGGTATGAACCAATTGGTGTATTTCTTTTTTATCTCTAAGGAAGGGTACATATAAATTTACTGCCTGGCACTTTTTATACAGTGTCTTATACTATCTTACGCACTGTATGTCTGCAATGAGCTTATTCTAGTCCCTTTCTTTGCCAGATTTTTTTTTATCATAAAGGAACTTGAATTAATAGAAATAAAATTTCTGACTTAGTAATGGAGATTCATGAACTTCAAAAAATAAGCCAAACACAGACAGATACTGCATGACATAGTATCTAAAAATACTGAACTCCTACAAATAAAATATAGACTGGTGGTCACAAGGAACTGGGGGTAGGAAGAGGTTGAGATCTTAATCCAAGGATGCAGACTTTCAGTTAGATAGGAGAACAGTCTTTTCCCCAGAAAATGTGACTGTGAGGTCATACAGATATTAATTAGCTTGATTTACTTATTCCACAATGTATACAAATTTCAAAACATGTATATCGTAAATATATACAATTTTTATTTGACAAAATAATAAAGGAAAAAACTTCCCATTTCCCCTAATTATTAATCAGCTTCTATTATGATATTTTTATATTTATAAAAATTATAACTTCTGTTACAGGTAAAATTGAAAAAATATATTTATCTATTTAAAATCAAATGATACCTTAGAAATACATGGAACAACCTGAGGGAGGAAAATTATAAAAACTTTGAACACCATTGGGTGTGGTACTCAACACCTTTAATCTCTGCTACTCAGTGAGGTGAAGCAGGAGGATCCCAGATCCCAGACCAGCCTGGAATTTAGCAAGACTTTGTCTCAAGATAAAAAAACAAAAGAGAGAGATTGGGATGTACCTCAGTGGTAGAGCATTTGTCTAGCTTGCATGAGACCCTGGGATCAACCTCCAGTACTGCAAAAAGAAAAAATTCCAATAAAGCAGGACAATAAAAGGGGAAAAAGTTATTTGCATAGTTAGATCAGTAAAATATGTTTTAGATGTGCATAGAAGAAAGATTAGGGTTATCTTCAAAAAGGACTACCCAGGTACCATAAAGTCTAAGACACTAAATTCCATATAATGATGTACAAAGACATAAAAATATAATTCTTTAGTACTCTCAGGACTGGAGTTCTAAACACTGATATATAAGGTTGCAGGGGAGGTTCTGGGTGGATTCAAAAAAATGAAACAAAGAAGAAGAAGTTTACACCTTATTATCCCCAGAACCTCTTGGATGCTGCATACCTATATTTATTCCTGACTAGACTGCCAGTCAGTGAAATAAATCGATATATAATAAACATTAACAAGTACCCATTGCTTAGCCTTTCTCTACTGAGCAGGCATTACTTCAAAGATGAGTCTTAAAGTAGGAAATGGAAGAGCTCACTATCTGAGTACCACTTGAGAGCTGAATTGGAATTGTCATGATCAAAGCAGCCTACTTACTGCTCTATCCACATGATTCTCCTGTCCCTAAATCCCATCAGTAGGGGTAAGGCAACCTTATAGGAGACAGTTATGAGGTTTTGGGGCTGAGGTGTAGTTGCCAATAACATCTGTGTATCCATTTGGTTCTAGTATATGGAATAAGCTCTGCTAACTGCGATAAGGCAGGAGGAAAGGATAAGGGCTTTAGGTTACAAATGTTCTGCTAACATCTTTACATTTCCGGAGCTTTTTGCCTTGTCATAGCATTGCTACAATTCTATATCTTCTGAAAAAATGTTTTTATTTAGAATCACATAAGCCATGTGCTATGCTGTATGAGTCTGGTTTGTTTGTTTATTTATTTACTTATTGGTACCGGGACTCAAACTCATGACCTTGTGCTTGCCAGGTTGGCACTGTGTCACTGAGCTATATCCCCAGCCCATAAATCTGTTTTTTTTTTTTTAATTACGTAATCATAGTTCACACTTATTTAGTGGTTGCTATGTGATAGTCACTATTCTAAGGGCTTTGTAAAGATTGGCTCATTTACTCTTCATGATTACTGCATCTTATTTTCTGATTTTTTATGTTAGTGAATTGAGGCATTAAGGTTAAATAACTTGCTAAATTTACCTGGCAGTAGGTAGTGGAGGGAGTATACAACTGCTAACAGTCTTGGCTTCAGAGTCAAGTCTCTAAACTGTGACATCATACTGCCTCTGCACATGTTGAAAGTTAAAGTGAAAACCAGTTAGATATTACGGGGAGTTTTTATCTATAAACTTACTTAGTCCATTGAGAAAAAAACATGCATCTATCTCCACTGGAGTTTGAAACCAAACTTCTAAGTATAGTCAGTTTTCTCAGAAACATACACTGCTGGTCATAAGAAATATTCTCCATGAAAGAATACAGTTAGATGAATACAGATAGAAAGCTTATATCCTATGGATATTTATCATCCTTCTGTACTTGGAAAAATCTTGATATGGTGTGGAGCAATCCATGTGAAAAAAGCTCATATGACAAAATGTAGTTAGAATCTTCAGTCAGTATAGAAATGAAGAGTGAGAAAATTAGGATTCTCCAGGGAAACAGAATCTCAGAGACAAAGTATATAAAAATATGATCTAATTTATTATGAGAAATATATAGATATGATTTATTATGAGGAATTGGCTCATCTGATTATAGAGCTTAAATTTCATGGTCTGATGTCTGCAAACAGAAAATACAGAAAAGCTGGTAGTGTAATTCCATTCATTCTAAAGGCCTGAAAACCATATCCCAGTCTGAGAGCAGAAGATATGTCCCATCTCAGTCAGAGAGGCAGACAGCAAACAATGACAAATTCTTCCTCTGCACTTTGCTTTATTCAAGCCATAATGAATGGGAAGATACCCAGCCATGTTCGGGAGGGCAATCAACTGTCCTGAGCCCACCAATTCAAACACAGTCTCATAAACACACTCAGAAAAAAATATTTAATCTGGGTACTCTGTGGCTGGTTAAGTTGACACCTAAAATCAATCATCACAAATGGAATGGAAAATATTTTCTCTATAGGCATTTAAAATTTTTTTTCATTTTGAGATAATTATAGATTTACAGAATTGCAGCTGTGTTTACAAAAGTAGGGGGAGAGGTTGCTGTGTACTTCATTATTCAGTTTTCTTGAATCATTACATCTTACGTGCTACAGTACATTAATAGAACTGAGACACTGACACTGACACCGTGGGTGCCGTATCCAAGGCCTCTAAGAGTAACGTCACGGCGTTCAGAGATGTGCTGGAAGGACAGGGCTCAGCATGTAGTAGCGCTCATGACCAGCACTTTACAGTAACAAAGATACTGGGCAGACCACAAGGAGGAAAGGCAGGTGGAATCTGAAAGAACCCATTTGCAGGTTTCCTTATGTTTTCTCGAGCCCATAAAGAGTCACAGAATAAACTCTTTAGCTCCCATCCCACATCAAGAAAAATGTAGCTACATGTGTGATTTTTCTGTGAAAGGCAGCACATTTTGCATTTAATGTTCCAAATATTTACTGGAGGCTAGTTATTCAGGGTACCCTCTGCCTGTTATATGCCAAAATTTCAGATTCCTAATAGAATTTCCCAGGTGACCAACACCAGTCATACTATTTGCAAAGTAGCATAGTGAATCACCTTCACTGGTTAGTTAATAGTGGGAGCATTACTGAAGTCCAAGGTATCTTCCCAGGTATCTTTGTAGTCACACCCAACTCTTATTCTCCCTCCTCATCTTTCCTAACTTTAATCTGTTTCCATCTCCGTCATTCTGCACACCTTACACTTATTGAAGGAAATACCCACACATTTTAATTTTTCATTGTAGAAGTGGTAAGTTTTATGTTTATACTATTGTGACAAAACCCACATGGGAAGAGATGGATTTTGATATAACAGATCATTGCATTTTTTAAAGGTAGGTGGTGAATATTTTTCTTTTGATTATATCATTACCAAAAGTGTTTCTCAGACCTAAAATATTATATCATGAGACTAAGAATTTTTGAAAGGTTTTAATGGAACAAAATTTTGCTTTCATTTCCAGTTGCTTTCATTTTCTTTAACCAGGTTCCTCTTCTTGGATCAAATTATCAAATACATAATATTCTTTATAGTAAATATTAAATGATTGTAATATAATGATAATTTTTACTGTATTTAATAAATAAGCAGATCTAGGATATTTAGTTAAGCTTGCTATACCAAAAAGTAGCTCATTTTAAATATATCTCACATTTCCCTTTCTTTGTAGGCATACCAAATTGATATTGGTTATTACTTGACATTACTGTTTTTGTATGGAGTAGCACTCACGGAAAGAGGGAAGAAAGAAGTACGTAAGCAATTCGTGGGGTTTTTGCCCATTATAAATCTGAATGCATACATTGACTTCATATTAGCAAATTCAAATGTTGATTTAAAAGAAAACTTTTCTAGAACATTAAAACCATGGACTTTTCTGTATTTACAATGTAATTATGTCAAAGATTATATTGTTAAACTAAAAATGCATAGGAACATCTTGATGTTAGCTTATAGATTCAATTATTTTAAATCTATCATTATTCATTTCCTAAGTGCTTATCATATGTATAAAATACATAAAACTTTTTCTCTTATGTATTTTAATTCATTTTCTGCTGAAGAGTAGTCTCTCTGGTCTTAATCTTACCCTTTTTGCAAAATATGAGTAGTACCTTAATTTTTTTTCCAAATAAAGTGAAGTGCAAATAAAAATCTAGTAGCTAGTAGAAAATTTCTAGTTTCTTTCAAGTTTAGCATTTTAATTCTTTTTCTGATATTTCCTGTTTTCTTCTTTTCTTTGCAACCTTGATATTTCTTTACTTTTTCTGTTTCCAGATCTATACCCTTTACTTGGATTCATACATTAAATGTGTAATTATGACTTGTTAGATGCAGTGGATTTATAAGCACTGACACTGAGAACATTTCTATTTTAAGTAATTTCATGCAATATGTTATTATTTAATTTGATATACTTGAAAATATTTTTAAACAAGGTCATCTAGATTTTCATTTTTTTCAGAGAAACCAAAGCCATTATTCATGTTTTATTATGACTGAAGCATCTATTACAGTTGATATGGATTTTTACTTCTGCATTGCTTATGATAGAGATTTGCTTCCCTCAAAGAGACTATGTCTGTAGTCAAGAAGCCATTCCTTAGCTGGGTTCAGTGGTACGCACTTGTAATCAGCACCCTGGAAGACTGAGGCAAGAGGATCTCAAGGTTGAGCCCAGCCTCTGAAATTTACCAACATAATGTGACTCTGTCTTAAAATTTTACAAAGTACTGGAGGTATAGTTACATTTTACTGTGTAAAGGCCCTGGATTCAATGTATAATACCAAAAACTTTAAAGAAGCCACTTACTTCCTATTTGAAAAATTAGGAAGACTTATGCTGCAATTAGAAAAAATTGAAAAAATTGAAAACAGTTACAAAGAATTGTTCTCTAATCATTTTAGAAAGCCCCTATTTTGCCAGGTAATATTTGTCTCTTTTATATATAAAAATATTACAATATTTTTTCACTTTCAATGTTGCTGTTGCACATTTGTTTATCAATAAATATTTTAGGCACTAAGTAGATTATGTGTATTCTTTCTTTCCTTTTTTTTTTTTTTGGTACTAGGACTTGAACTCAGGACCTTGCACTTGCCAGGCAGGCACTTGTGCTGCTGACTATATCCCAGCCCCTAAGTAGATTATGTAATCACAAACAGAGATACTAGGATTAGAGATGTAAAAAAATGACGAGATGACTATATCACTCTTAAAGTTGCCCTAATGTTTTCAGTTTGGGAAATCATTTTTTACTGAAAAAAAAAATTTTTTTCACATCAACCAAACCTAGTTTATGTTACTGCAGGATTATGCAGAAGCTGAGAATAAATTCCTGGTGATGAAGATGGTGATCCAAGAAAATGAAATCTGTGAAAACTTCATGTCTTTAGTCTATTTTGGACGTGGTTTACTTCGATGCGCTCAGAAGAGGTAAGAATTTCAATTAATAGGTAGATCTTTAGTGCTACATTTCAGCATTGTAAAATGAGAATAAAATGTAACCGTATATAAGGGATCATGACATTTATGCCCACAGGCTGTTTTGTTCTTTTTTATCTTTTCCCATAGATAATTTCTTTAATATACTTGAAGATATTAAGTAGCAAACTTAATAGGCCATGCCAATAAGAGGCAGCCTATCTTTGGGGATTTAGCTCAGTGGCAAAGTGCCTGCCTGGCAAGCACAAGGTCATGAGTTCAATTCCTGATACTGGAAGAAAAGACCAAAAAAAAAAAAAGACCAGTCTGAACTACATGGGGAGACTCTGTCTCAAGAGGCAGCCTATCTTTGACATTATGAACATAAGTTTTGGAGTCTGATAGGCCTAGATCCACATACATTATCTTCCCCTTAACCTATAAAAATTAATGTTGTTAACCATTATGTTTTTAATCTCTGAAATGGAGTTAATAGTAGTTTTCACCTCATAAGGATGTTATAGATGATTAACAGTGACTGGGACACAAAATATGTAGTATTTAATAAGTGAATGATGGTTTTAATTTTTAATACTGTCATCAGTGACTTAGGGTAGTTTTTTAAAGTATAAGTTTGCATATATAAAGTTGAAATGGTCCAAATGCTGAGCTTAAGAAATATTGGGTATTTTGTATTTTAAAATGGCGAACTTGTACAGAAGAACCTATATAGATTATCTATTTACTTTCTAAATGGAGATCCTTAGGCTTTGTAGCATTATTCATTCATTTTATTTACTGAACATCTATCAACGTCTATCACGGAAACTGTGCTAGGTGATGGGCAGTAGTTCTTATACTCATATAGCAGACAATATGGTGAAGGAGATAGACTTTAATAAAATATTCATTCATAAAATAGTCAGTTATGCAATGTAAGTGCTAAAGATGTGTAAGGGAGTACATAGTGAACAATGGAGGCCTTTATTGGAGCTCCAGTCTGGATTTAAGAATCAGAAATCTCCCTCAGTAAATACTGATTTAGTTTGATGTGTGAGATAAATTAGGGTTTACTTGAGCAAACCCCTATGAATTATTACTGCTGGGCCAAATTAGACCTAAAAGTGTCACTTGCATGACAGTTTTCTATTTTGTTTGCTCATATCCTATCTCTGTGGCATGCCTTTCTCCACTAAGATATTTAAAAGTCTTCCCATTTGCTAGGTCTGATTAACATGGTGCCATCCGCTTAGTGGGCTAATGTTATGCTTTACAGAAGGTAAAGATAGTCAGAATCTCTTCAATCTATATTGTGACAGAGTAGGAGAATTCACATAGCATAAGACAAGACAAAGAATGTGTGCTGCTGTCCTTCCTTACAACTGCTTTTATAGTTTTTTATACAAATGACTTTTTATTCTCTTTACTTACATGCATTGGAAAGAATTCATTTTCCAATCACTGACGCTAGAAAACTCAGTTATATGGTAGCATCCTTATTTTCATCCCTGTCCTCTAGAGGACAGCCCATTACTGAGATTCTCAGCCACTGGTGCCCTTCTTGCTCGGTATTGCTTCTGTACTGACAAATGAGGTACCCTGTAAACCTCCCCAGGGATGTTGTCTCCATTGTCTAACGATGGGGTCTATGTTGTTTGTTCTTCATGGTGCTGGGGATTGAACTCTGGGCCTCATGTATGCACTCTCATTACTGCGCCACATTGCAGCCCAGTTTCCATGTTCTTATGTGGTAAGTCCATTCTAGCGTTCTTACCTGTGTGAGTCTGCTGACTGATTTTTACTCTGCCAAGCAATTTCCAGCATTTTTACCCCACTTAGTACAAGCCAATATTTTATCCAAGTTTTTAGGAACCTTTTTGGCAGCTTGTTAAGACTGGCTTCATGGGTCTTTTCTAGGAAAGTATATCTTGAATTCTGTAAGAGTTGTTCCCTATTAGTATAACTTCACTCTCCGGCTTTGTCTTTGCCCATTCATTTATACTGTTAATACTCCCGTGCGTGTTTCTGCCTGTATATGCAAGTAGGTTCTGCAGTTCTTATAGTGAACAGTTGTTTTCCTGGGCAGGGACTCTGTTTTTCTATTTGGATCCTCTTTTTCCTGAACCTGAACATACATTTCTAAGGGCTGTTACGGGGCAGAGAAAGGTAATGAGGAGGAAGGGCATCTTCTTCTAATATATGCATCTCTGATAGTATTTTTATGTAGTCTCTACTTGATGAGAAGCAGTTCTCATGCAGCAAAGAAGAGGTCTTTGTGCGGCAGATAGTGCAGGGAGAGTTTAAACTCTCAGTGTTTCTAACTACCTTCACTTAAATGTCCTCATTTTAGCTCTCTGAGTTCACTTATCTCTCTCAGAGTCCTGATTATAGCATAGTAGTCCTGTTGAGGCTGTACATTTGGCTTCCTTTGAAGTGTTCAACACTTGTAACTAAATCCTGGGCTTTAGTTCAGCATATGCTGCCCTTATGTCTGGAGGAGATGAGAATTCTTTAAATGTTACATAGACACCTTCTAGCTTTTACACTGGTAGTAATAGTGTGAGTCGGTAGTAACAATCAGTGGAGGCAGTAGATTTGCTCTCATTTGTAAATTGCTCCACTTAATGATTACATCTGTCCTTATTTAGAGCACAGATTATTTTTATGAATATAGGAGATGAGGTTCTCTTTAAATACTGCCACACAGGCCACCTGGTTTTCATAGTGTGTCCTGAATCAATAGTTGGCTGACATATGCTTGTCATTCTCTTTCTTCAAAGCCTCCAAGTCAGTTAACAGAAGCCAACCAACTCAACCATTCCTTTAACTATAATGGCCCCCATACTGTTCAGCCTTGAACTACCACATACTCTATTGCCTCCCCTCCACCTGTAGTTCATCCTAATCTACCACAGGTGAGAGTCCTAGAATTTATATTTGTATAGCATGCTCTACTTAGCACAAAAAGGGTTACTTCTTACCCCATTGGTAAGCTATACATGGCTAGAGTACCCCTCAGACTAACCTTATTTTAAAATGCCTTACAGATATAATGGAGGATTGCTAGAATTTCATAAAAGCTTACAAGAAATAGGAGATATAAATGATCCTTGGTTTGACATAGATCCTATAGAAGATGAAGATTTACCAACAGCTTTTAAAGTAAGAAATAACATTTTATCTGTGACTAATCAGAATTAACTTTGATTAAGTATTATTTAAACCAGCTAAATGATATTCTGTAGGAAATACATTCTGTTATTGGAAGTTAGCTCTTCATAGAAAAAAATTGGAGCTTTTATTACCTAGAGTGCAATGTATCATTCAGGAAGTAAGAAAAGTGTGGTAATTAGCAAGGTGAGACGATTAATATCCATGCTAGTCTAGTTCTTTGCATAGTTAGAGGCAAATGTAATAGTTAATTGTGTTTTTAAAAATTATATTTACCATTATTTTATTATTAATTTATAAAGCACTAAATGCTTTGTTCATAAAACTTGGCAAAAAATGCCCAAAGATAAAAGTAAAATTTACATATAATTTTTCAGATGGAGAAGCTACTATCAGTCTTCTTTTTCGTTTTTGTTTCTTTTCTCATCTCTTTTCTTTTCTTGCTTTTTTTCCTCATCATCTCATTATAATGAATTTTTACGGGTGGCATTGTGAAGCAAGTATTTACCTACTTGTAAAGTTCCTACAACATATTTCTACATGACTTCTCAGGAAAATTGTACCAGTTTACGTTATTAAGACAATGTAAGAGTGTCATTTTCCCATTCCTCTTGGTGTTCATTATCTTTTGGGTAAATTTTATTCAAAGCTTTGTAGGTCACTTTAATTTGTTTAGTATGAACATACCTCTACCAGGTTGTTCATGGTTAATGTTTGACATCTTTTTAAACTTTTACTTTAAGCCTTGTGGATCTTTATATTTTAGCTGACTTGTAGAACAAAACCATTCCTCAAAATAAAGAGGGATATTTCATAAAAATATAAAATTTAATTATTCTAGGCTATGACAACACAAAATGTATACAGCTCTCATAGCAGATCCTCAAATTATGATAAAATTGACAAAGCTGAGAGAAATTAAAAATTCCTGATTACAGTGGAATAATTTTGATGTACTCAATAATAAATAGACTCTACTGATCTTGTTAGCACTGTCAAGATAATCATATGATTTTAACTTTGAGTTACTATACTTTTTTATGTATTGAACTTCTGTACATGTCTAAAGCAATCCCTATGTGGCCTTTTTATTCTTATTTGTCTTCCTTTTAAAATATTCTTCTCTATTATCTCAGCACTTACAGTGAATGTTTATTTTTCAAAATATGCAGTTTTCCAAAAATGTTTTTTAAAGGATTTAAGAATTACATTTCCGCTGTGTCATCTCTAATTCCTAGAGGTAATTCCAACTCTTCCGAACATCTTTCTTTGTTCATTTACCTGTTTTTTTTTAAAAAGCTACTGCTATTTTAATATTCTTCTTACTTTAGGTATTATCTTGAATTTCCATTTAATACAGATACACCTTTTTACACCTGTATGTGCACACACACACATACGCACACAGTTATTCTCATATTTTATCAGTAGATTAAATTCTTATTCAATTGACCTCACCCTGGAAGCTCTCATTATTTTTCTCTTGTATGGAACACTATGTGTCTTAAAGTTCAAGTTTTCTTCTTTTTAGCTTAACTTTCTTATATTAGTGGTGCAACTACTCCAGCAGCTTCCCATAAAAGAGAACTTGCTTGAGATGTTAATTTTTCTGTAAACTTTTAAGTATCAGAATAATTTGCCTTTGTCATACTGCATTTATATCTTGCCTGGGCATAGAGTTGTAAGTTGAAAATAATTTCTAAAAGTACTTTTGATATCTTTTGTCTTGCCACATTTATTATTTGAGAAAATCAGATGTTACTGTGATTCTCAAAACTTTACATGTGATTTGTTTTCTATATTTCTATTTTTGTTCTAAGAGTTTTAAAGGAAAATCCTTTGTACCCCCAGTGTTAAAAACTTATTTTTTATTCTGGTATATTTTCTTGATCTATGTGCTTACTACTTCTTAATTTTTTCTTTTCTTTTTTAAGTGCTTATTATCAGATTATTTGCATACTAGACTGATTCTCTAGTGTTGTTTCTTTCATTTTTTATCTTTTTATTTGTTCTATCTTCTGACAGATTTTCTCAACCTTTTCTACGTGTGGCTGATACACATAAAATAATCTATAGAAGATTATTTGTTACATCATATACCTTTAAAGTATTAAAAAACAATCCTATTGGAAATCTAATACAATCTTTCTAAGAAAAAGTATTAAAGATTTTGTGTAATCACCTATCCTAGACCTTATTATGTGTTTCATCAATATTTGAGCAGCATTTTAAATATGAAATTAAATTACAAGTTATAACTATTGGCATTGGAATGGGTACAAGAAATGGGAGAATGGGGCTGGAAAAAAAAATGAAAATATAATATGTACATGTACCAACTCTACACAAGTAAGGTAAACATTATATTCTGTAAACATGTATTAACGAAACATTTTTAAAAATAAAATTAAAAAAAGGAAATGCATTTCTATCCTGTACCTTTGCTTGTTATTGCAGTGAATGACATGTTGTACTGCTATAGCAGTTCAACTGCCAACATATTATCCTAGGAGCTGATTCTGGTGTGTGTGTGTGTCTGTGTGTGTGTCTGTGTGTGTGTGTGCACGCGTGTATGTATAATCAAGTAATTCTTGATAAGAAAATGCCAAGTGTTATGGTATAGGTTAGGATAGTGAAGTATTATTTCAAACATATACATCTCTCCTTTCTTTGTGTTTGTATCATTCAGTCAGAAATTTAGTATTTCTAAGTTAGAGACTTGCTATGTATTGGTTACTATGAACGAGGGAAATGTATTTTATTACTGTTTTTTAAAAAGTGTAGGTTCTTCAGAAGGGGATATAGTATGGACATACTACTTATGATAAACATTAGAAATATTATTGTCTTAATTTATAATTACTAATTCATGAAAAATTCTTTTTTACTTTTAAAATCTAGGATCTCCTCAATAATTTTATCAAGACAACTGAAAGTAATATAATGAAACAGACCATTTGTAGTTATCTAGATTGTGAGCGATCTTGTGAAGCTGACATTTTAAAGAACACGAATTATAAGGTACTATAATTACCAATTAATTATTTTTTAAATGTGATTATAAAATTAAAAGTAGTTAATTTAATTATAGTGCCTCTACCATTGAGAAGTTGACTATCTCCTAGATATATTCTGAGTCAATGAAAGAATGATTTGGTTTTGGTAAGGTTTTTGTAACATGTACTTCAAAACTTATGACTCTTATACCTGTAATGATATGGTGAAAATAATCTAAAATGTGTATATAGTCAGAAATATTAGAGGTAGTGAATAGTAAGTAGCTTTCACTGAAAAGATAGGTTGTTACTCTTCATTAGTTATCTAAGTGATTATTGTCTCTTCTATGGGTCTTTGTGAGTGGGTCATGGAGCAAGACAGGAGGGAGGGCTTTAGATCAGTTTTGACTTGAAGAAATCCCATAATTAGAGTACTTTTAGGAAATCTCTATGGATCAGTCAGCATAAGACTGTGAAATCACCAGGTGGAATGAGATATGATCATCGGTACAAATTAGACCCCATTTTAAGCGATAATTGAACCTCACTTGCAAGGCATAATGTATGCCGTGGCTAGGGAAGGTGGAGAGAGACAGCCAAGTTCTATTCATTAGGATGGGAGGACTGGTAAGTTGACACAGTGAGGTGCAGTGGTCAGGGCCAGGCAAGTTCTGTTTGGTTTAGATGACCTGGTAAGGTGGTCCTAAGCCTTCCCAGGAAGGATGTAGGATTCCAGTCAAATAAATGGTTGCAGCAGAAAGTCCTAGGTATGCAGTTTAGAGTTTCATAATCTAAGCAGAATTCCTATTAAAAGGAAATGGGTCTTTTAGCCAGGATGTTTACAGTAGGAAATACAAAAAGGTCTGTATCCTGAGGTAACACAGTAGCTCAAGTGCTGTTTCCAAGGGAACAAGTAGGAGTCGTGGGTGGTGAGTGACAGGCAATTCAAGGTTAATGGTGTGGAGTTGGAACTGGAGGAAAAGAGGAACATAACAATGAAGACGAAGAGGAGTGGAGCACATATTCCTCCGCAGATACCACGGGTTTAGTTTCTACTGTTTCGTTGTGAAATCACTGCTTCCTTTTTGTACAGCATCATAATTTTTCAGTTTTTAAGATGTAGAGTTCTTTGGTGAGCATAATCTCTGCTGGTAAATTTTGAATGCTGTATAAAACTCTTCAGTACTAATTTTAAAAATGATTTGAGTTGACATTTTTCTGTACCCACATTGCTGTTTCCATTATAAACAGTTTACTTTCCTCCCCCAAAAGGGTTTTTTTCAGTTAATGTGCAGTAAAAGTTGCTGTGTTTATTTCCACAAAATGTGCTGGAAAAAATTCAAGAATTTAAAATATCCAGGTGAAAATGATCAGGTATTATATTTGCTTTTCTTTCTTAAACTTCACTGTAGCATTTCTTCCTCTTTTCTCTTTATGTCCTCATCTTTTTCATTTCTTTCTATTCACATTTTCTTTTTCTTCTTTTTTCTTTCTCAGTTCTCTCTGATACTTATCTCCTCACCGATATCACTCACCATCATCATTTATTAAACAGCTATTGCAGAGGGTATTTTGCTAATTGCTTAACTTGGTAATTTCTGTCAAGTTGTTCTATTCCCTTAGAAGTTAATCCTCAAGGACAGATATATTGTTGGGTATGTCCCCACGAAAGATACAGCATCAAAGAGTCGAATTGCTTAATAAAAACACAGAAGGAATAGTTACATCATTTTAAGAATTATTTTTATTTTAGGGGTGAGAATAAGGAAAAACTTCCATTCCCATATTTGGATTTGTTCATATTGTAGTAGTTATATGCTAAATTGAGCTCTTTACCACTGAAAGTGAAGTGGAAATCTAAAGCCCAGTTCTATATTAATTAATATTTAGTAAGCTAATTATGATAAGTTGAGTCTATTACTTTTGGTTCTGTAAGGTTTACATTGTACAAAAACAGAAAAACTTTAGAAATCAATTGTGATTTAGTAGAAAGATCATTGCTAGAGCTGGGCTCAAGTTCAGATTAAGCCACTTAGTAATTTTATTACATTTAACTTGTAATTTAATTACTGAGTCTAATTTTTTCTCTTCTAAAGTAAGGATAAGATAAACCTTTACAGATTTATCTATTATAGTGAGCTAGCACTGTAAACTGTAAAAACAATCATATAAGGAATTATTATTCATTTTTTAAAATGCTATGAAATCCTTTATAGTTTCTTTTATTGTTTTGGCAATGAATGTCAATCATCTTTAGAAGAAGAAATAAAAAAAACATAAGTAATTTAACTACAGCAAAATCAGAACCAGAGAATATAACTTCTGTCTTTTTTGAATCCTCAAGTATCAGGTCTCAATATGTTTGCTTAATTAGTACACTTACTTAAATTTATTTTTCATGGAGCAACAAATATATTTTAGGTTTTAATGTAGATCCTTAAAGATTTTGAACTAGGAGTGATCAGAGAAGACAGTGAAGTCATATCCACTTGATACAGGATGTGGACAGTCTTTGAACAGCTAACTGTTTAGTTAGAGCTTTCATTTTACCGTTTGTGCATTAGTGAATTGTCTGTTTTTATTTTTTTTTTCTGTTAATAACTTTAGAGTTTTAGTGGGAAAAAGTGTCTGAAGGAAGGATGCACAGGTGACATGGTAAGGATGCTGCAGTGTGATGTACCTGGAATTGTTAAAATTCTGGTGAGTATCTTTTTCCTGCTTTTCCTGTTTACCTTCACTGGAAGTGTTTTTGACTTAAAACACTTGAAAAGCATAATAATAGGGTCCTAGCCATGTATTCTTTGATGGTGACTAACTCCTCTGCCTTTTCTATTCCTACGATTTATGAAAAGTCTTTAAGAATGAGAAAATTTAAAAATAGAAACACAGAGAAAGAATTAAATTTTCCCTGAGCGTACTGCTGAGATTATCACAAACCAAGGATTATTATTTAGTTCTGTGCCACCTAAGGTTAAAAATAATTTTAGACTTTCTGAACCTATTTTAGTCTATAAATATCTTTCTATGAATATATCTATAGATACAATACCTGTTATCTAGGTACTATTGAAGGCAGAAAAGATCTTACAGTACTTTATAATAGTAAAATTACACAATTTTATAATAAAGAGGTACCATGTTGAATTTTCAAATTACAATAAACCAAAATTATAAGTAGAAATGAATCTCACTTTATTCTATTTTTGTATTTCAAGTTTGACATTGAAATCTTAGAGTGGTGTAAAGTAGAACAGCTTTTTAAGGGCGCTCTGCTTTGTTTTAAAAAGATTTTATGTTACTAACCATTCTGTTTTGTTTTATATTCACAATGGCTTTATTATTTGTTTTTTTCACATGTTAAGGCTAAAAAGCTAACGTTAAAGGATGTTAGAAATTTACTGTAGGGCTTTTTTTTCATTACTTGCAGTTTGAAGTTGTGAGAAAGGATGAATATATAACCATTGAAAACTTAGGAGCAAGGTAAGCTTGAATAAAATAACTGTGTTACTATTTCATGAATGTGTGTGTATTTTTAAGTTGCCCTTCGAACACTATTACATTCTATGGAATTATTAGACGTATGAAAACTCATATTGCATCTCCTGTTATTTGTTTTCCTCTCCTTTCTCACTAAAAAGAACATTTATATTTTAAAGCAAAGAACCAAAACCATGTGGGTATTTTTCTCTTGTGTGTAAAAATTATCCTTTCTTAAAAACGTAGCATACTTTTATTAAAGTTATTAAGTTAGATTTTTATGAAGACTTCGTCTTATCCTTCAGAGTTTATTCAGATCTCTAACCTTAATTCACAATGGAAATCTTTCTGTTGTTTAGATGAGAAAACTTTAGTGATAAGTCGTGCACACACAGAGAGACAGATTTTAAGCTAGGAATTCAGAGATATATGGAGTGTTGCAATTAAAATTAAAAATTTCAATGTAAGAAGTTCTTGTAACCTACTGATTTTCTTTTTCTTCTATTTAAAGTATAAATATGTACAATTTTCAGTCTACACAAGGATAGTGTATGAATATCTAAGGTCTCAGTTTTCCCTTACATGTTAATGAAATCCAAATTTGTATGTAGCACAGACCTCTCTATTAAAACTTTGACCTGTACATCTTTCTGCATCCTCAGTATCCCTACCTTTTATTTTTCACAGATAATTCAGCATGTCCAAACCTGAACCTTGGATCTTTCTCTGCAACACTGCCCTATAACAACCTTTTCTGTCTTACCAGCCCCCTTTACTAAACTGAGATTATCATTATTTCTTATTTGAAATTATGAAATAGCTTCTTGACACATCTGTTTATAGCCTTGCATTTCTCTAGTCTTCCTGTTTACATAGCTATCAGTAGAACTTTTCTTAAATAAAAACTGAAATATATCACTTCCGTGCTTGAAAATTTGTCCTAAGTTTCACACTGCTCTCAAAATTGAGATTCCTTGCCTTCACTCCTCAGTCATCTTGAAACCCACTGAATTTAATGGTGTCATCTCTTGCTCTGACCGTGTGCTGAGCTTCTTTCAGTTATATATGCTACACCACCGATACTAAGCTTCTTCGAATTTCTTCATTGTGTCATCTCATAAAATCTCCAGATTCTTAGCTGGAAGTTAGTTACTTCCCATTTACTATTTTACAGGCCTTGCATGAAACACTGCTCCTTTGCTTTTTCTTAGTCAAAACATCAGGAAAGCCTTACTTCGATGAAAGTAGATGTTTCTATCATGTATTCGTCTTAGTTCTGTGAAAACATTTTCTAACTTTATTATACTTTCTGGGCTGTCTTTTTCATTTTGCTGTAATCTGCATGAGGACAAGAGCTTTATTTTGCATGTAGCAAAATGCCTGGCACATAGCTGTTACTCAGTAAATACATGGCAGCTGTAGAGATTCTGAATTTCATTGTTCTCCAATGTAATGTACGATTTACTTTTGTTTTAATCAGTAGTTAACTTGGCTGAATGTGAATTGTAAACTCTATTTTTAGGGGTGGTAGCTCCAGCCTCAATCCAGAGCTTTTGTCTGTAGCTACCTATTTTTTAATCTGCATCACAGTTGTGTGGTTCAGTGTTCAGTCAGAAATGAAGCTGAGAACTTGGGGCTTTCTTTTCTCCTTTCCCTTCTAGGATTCCCCATCTCTCCAGCGGTCATAACTTCTACCTCTTCAATTTTTTTACTTCTTCAGCCAAACAGGCCTTAGATCTTCGTGACATCATCATTTTTATTCCTGATACTGGCAGTTTGTATTTTTTCTTTCCATTCTTATTAGGGATTTATTCATTTTTGCTGCTCTTACTAAAGAATCTTTTTTAAAAATCTCACTGGTTTTCTGTTTTTCATTTGTAATTCCATTGACTTCTGCTCTTTGTCATTTCCGTTTCCACTTGCTTTGCATAGCTCCTCAGCCTTTTGGGTAAGATCAAGTGCACTTGCTTTGCATTTAATTTGCTATTTTGAAGATAAATGCTCTTAGCTTTGGTCTGAAATCTGTTCTTTATAAACTGATTTCTCATGAGTTACTGTTTTAAATGTATACCATACATTTTGTTATATAAAAATTTATTTTTATAAAATTCAAAGTATTTTCTTAGTTGGTGTGCGTGCCTGCGTGCGTGCATGTATATGTGTGTGTGTATACCCAGGGTTACTTGGAATTGTGTTGCTGAACTGCCAAATGTTTATGGATATTTTAGCTGTTTTCTCACATATTTACTCCTAATTTAATTCCTGTGACTACACACAATGTATTTTTCTGGTACTACAATCATTTATAATTTGTCAGAGTTTGCTATATTATGCAGAGTATTTTATATTTTGATGAATAATCTTTTGAAAAGACTCTATATTCTACTTTTGTGTGGAGTGTTCTACATACTGCACAAAATTAGTTGGTAATCATGTTTCGGTGTCCTATATCAGTACTAATTTTCTGTTTACTTTTTCTCTCAGTGACTGAGAGGGAAGTGCTAAAATCTGGTACACTGTCTATATTTTGTCTTTGTCCATTACCTGCTTGTGTATTTTGAAACTGTTTTACTAGATACTGTGTACATTTAGGATTATCTTTTTTTCTTAATGAATTGACCCTTATATCTTTATGTAACATTCATATTGCCCCTAATAATATTCCTCTGTCAAGTATCTCTCTGATATTAATATAGCAACTGTACTTTACATTTTTTAGCTAGCTTTTTTTTCTCAAGTTTATATTTTTCACTGGTACGTGTTTGCAGTAATAGTGATCACATCCTCATGGGAGCTGGCACATGTACATCATATCTCAATTCTCTTTTCATCCTCTTCTCCCTCCCTCCCCGTTATCTCCATCTTTTGCTTTCATTCCTGTTTGCAAAAGATTGGTCTCCCTACTGCCCATTATCTGTCTTTTATTTTGATCTTAATTTATGTTTTGCATTTCTCATATAAGAGAAGCAGGGTGATAATTAAGCTTATTTATTTCACTTAGCACTATTATCTCAAGGTGCACCCACTTCCTATAAATGATTCGAGTTTATTTTTCTTTATGGCAAAATAATACTCCATTGTATATAAACAGAACATTTTCCTTATCCCTTTGTCTGGTGATGGGCATATAAGCTGCTTCTAAGATTTAGCTTTTAATAAATTGTGTGGCTATAAACATGGGCATATATGTATCACTGTAATATGATGTCTTTAACCCTCTGGGGAAGATAGTTAGAATGGAAATTCCTGGTCAAATAGAATTTTTAGTATTTTTTAGGAATCTCCATACTGATTTTTATAGTAGTTGTCCTAGTTTATATCCCCACCAACAATGTAAAGAGTTTCTTTTACTCTGCAGCCTTGCTAGTATTTGTTAATATTTGATTTATTGATGATAGCCATTCTTTCTGGAGTAAAATGGAATTTAGGATTATTTTAATTTGCATTTCTTTAATGGTTAGAAACATTGAACATTTTTTCATATACTTTTTGGCCATTTATACTTCATATTTGAAGATTTTCTCTGACATTAATATAGCCAATGCAGTTTACATTTTTAAAATCAGCATATTTTTTATTAGTATTTTGCACTATATATTCTTTTGCATACTTCAATTTAGTGTATTTAAAGTGTGGTTTTTGTAGATAGCATATATCTTGCTTTTTCTTGTATCTAATTTGATAATCTTTGCCTTTAAATTGAGGGTTTTATTCTATATAACTTTTCTATTAATTATTTATGTGGTTAAATTTAGATCTACTGCCTTCTTGTTTTTTATCTATTTTTTGGCTTATTTCTAATTGTAGGCTGTAACAATAGTGCTACAAGGAGCGGTGTTACACATATCCACAGGATAATTTGTACAGAACTTTTTTCAGAATGTATACGTAGAATTAGAATTGTTAATCCATTTATTGCATGTTTTTAACTTTACTAAATTTTGCCAAACATTTTTGCGCAGTTGTTTGACCAATGTACACTTTGTATCAGCAGTCTAGCAAAATTTGTTTTACGTAGCCGATACTTTATATTGTTAGAATTTGTATTATTTCCAATGCTGTGAGTGATTGGCAGTGTAATAGTGGTGTTGGAGATAAGATCAGTTAATAATAACAAATAACTGCGGCCACCACCAAAATTCCTGGCCTCAGTAAGCTTCCATACTAGTGTAGTTACGTTTTTTTGTGGGTGTGTTCCATGAGAGAGTTGATTTCAAAGCCAAGTTACAAGGTTTTCTTTTCATCCATTTAATGGTAAGGTTTACCTAGTCCTAGTCTATTTAATAAATTTCATTACCTCTTCCTTCTGTTTTCCAATTGTTTTTATGGTTAGTATACCAGTTTCTTTATTTTTTAAAAACATTTGGCATAGAGTAAGTTGGATTTTCTGAAGTGTAATTATTGCCCCAAAAATGTGCATTAAGGGAGAAGTAAAAGAGATCCAGGTTTGCTACGTTTTGTGTTTTTCTAAATAATACAAATCATTATTTTTGTTGTTGTCCTGTGACCACACAGCCATCTTGTAAGTAAGATTTTCATGTGATTCTTTATGTGAAATCTAGCAGTACTCCTTAAATATTCATTCCAGTGAAAGTGACAGTATGGGGTTGCCATTGTTGGTGTTTTTATTTTTATTTTTTCATTTTTCTTCTTTGCTTTTGAATTATCTCCAGGATGAGAAGAAAATATTGATTTATCCATGTTTGTACCACAAATCTTGACTTATTTCTGGTATTAGTTCACTGTAACTTAAGTTTTTTTCCTATTTGCAGTTATAAGAAGTTGATGTCTCTGAAAATAGCTGATACTGATATAAGACCGAAGATCGGTTTAAAATTTAATACAAAAGGTATTATTTTATTTGTGTATGAGTCCTGTTGACAATTATGTTAACATGTTTTATATTCCTTGTGGTGCCAGGCCATTAACAATCATGTTATCATCTCATGTCTGTCGTGCACTAAACTCAAATTTACATCATTAAGTAACACTTGCCCTAGGCTTGATCTTACAGACAGGTGTGTGTGGATCTCATATTCCTTCAGCAGCCTATGGAGAGAGGTACTTTAGGTATGGTTCATAGGTGTGACTACACAGTAAGATTTGCCCAGCGGAGGGGTCCTTCAGTCTCCCTGCCCTCACTGCATTCCCTTTTAATAGAGCAAGCATTGAGCAGCCTACTATGCCAGAAATGAAAATTTGAGACTTGAAAAGAAGTGATCTGAACTTAGGTGCCAGCTTCTTACACATGTGCTAGGAAATGCTAGGAAATGCCTGGAGACATGACAGGCCCTCATTCCCATGGAAGAATAGTTTGGTGACAGTCCTTGTTAGGGGGAATGGGTATCCCTAATGCCAGCCAGCCTATATTTGGTAAACTAGACAAAGCTTGAGTCATTTGGTTTTTAATTTTGTTCACCTCCACAATGTACATCCATTATGTTAAGCAAAAGTATCAATGAAAAATCTCTAAAACGCAAGATCATGCAAGGTAAAATAGTAAAAATTGCATGTTATGATAAACACATTTTAATATCCATACAAATACCAAATGCTACCATATAAAATATTCTTACTATTGTCTAGCTCTCCTCAGTCTACTTTCCTCTTCTGGAAGTACTTTGGTATTGGGGAAAACATCAAATAGTTTAATTTCATGCCTTATTTCATTTCATTGATGAAATACATACTTAATCATTAAATTCATTGGAGGGGGTAAGGAAGGAGGGTTATTTGAGGTTATTATCTCAAACTCTGAATATATATTGAATCATATGGCTGTTTTGTTAACATATAGGTGCCAGTTCAGTGAGTCTGGAGTGGGGCCTGATATTTCTAACAGTTCCAAAGGGTATGTTGAGACCATTGCTCTATAGCCCACTCCTTGAGTAGTAAGGCATTAGATCACTTTATGTTTTTTGACATATGGTAGCCATTAGCCATATGTAGCCATTTAAGCTGAAATTAATTTAAATGAGATAAAATTCAACAAAGAGCTCATCAGTCAGACAAGCAACATTTCCAATATTCAGGGAGTAGTGGACAGTGTAAATATAAAACATTTTTGTCACAGAAAGTTCTGTTGGATAGTACTGATTAAGATAAAATGTGATTGTTTTAAGTAAATTATAATAAAACATTGGCAGTTACATTCTTGACAAATTTTGGCTTAGACTTTGATGCCATTTGGTTGCCAAAGCTCATCTACTTGAACAGAACCTTGGATGGTTGAAAGGCTTCTGATGGAAAATAGTCTTTGTAGTATTTTTGCTTGGGAATATACTGTTTTGGTTTAGGTATTTTGGCAGCTAAGCAGAAAAGAGCATGCTTATTGAGCATTAGGTGTGGCAAAGCACTGTACTGTACTTCGTCGTTTTGGAATAATTCCTGTCCTACAGGATCTTAGAATGTAATGCAAGAGACCACATAGAAAAAGAGCATTAATGTGGAATATCTTGACTTCTCAAAATTCATTTTCAGATGAAATGCCTATCTTCAAACTTGATTATAATTATTTCTATCATCTGCTTCATATAATTATTATTTCTGGTACTGATATTGTCCGGCAAATATTTGATGAGGCTATGCCACCCCCTCTTTTGAAAAAAGAGCTTCTCATCCACAAGAATGTACTGGAATCCTACTACAACCATCTTTGGACCAATCACCCTTTGGGTGGATCATGGCATCTGCTTTATCCCCCAAACAAGGAATTACCACAGTCCAAACAGTTTGACTTATGCCTCCTATTAGCTCTCATAAAACATTTGAATGTATTCCCTGCACCCAGAAAAGGCTGGAATATAGAACCTCCATCTTCTGACCTCTCTAAGTCTGCAGACATTTTGAGACTGTGCAAATACAGGGATATCCTCCTTAGTGAAATTTTGATGAATGGTCTCACAGAGTTACAATTCAATTCAATTTGGAAAAAAGTTTCAGATATTCTTCTGCGTCTTGGGATGAAGCAAGAAGATATTGACAAAGTGAAGGAGAATCCCATTGAGAATATTTCCCTTGATTACCATCAGCTATCCGTCTACCTAGGCATACCAGTACCAGAAATCATCCAAAGGATGCTATCCTGCTATCAACAAGGTACGAAATAATTCTTTACTTCAGCCAGTACATCTTTATTGAGTGTCGGTTCTGTGCCTGTTCCGTGTACAATGTAGTTGGCAGGGAATTCAGTGAACTCCCTTTCTTGGGGGAGGATAGACTTAGCAAGAAGGTAAATAGAAATTATAGTGCTAGAGATGTTTCAGGAGTACTTGGGAAATCCTAGCTTAAAGAGGTCTGAGAAACCTTTAAACACAGTATTTAAGGAATTCTTGCTGAAATGGAGATTAGCCAAGTGGAGAAGATGAAGAAAGATGCTTCAGAAAGAAACAAGAGCAAAGATATACAAACAAAAATATATTACAGTGCAGGGAACTAAAAATTTTGGCATCGATGAAACTAGAGTTCACAGATAAAATACATTCAAGAGGATTTCTTTTATCCTGTTGAGAAGTTTGTATTTTCTCAAAGGAATTGTTAAGAGATTTTTAAATAGAAGAATTTTATCACTTTTCCAAAAGTAAATGCCTAAAACCGTGAAACACAGGTACTTTGTGTGTTTAAGGATGTCTTTATAAATACAATAGGTGTGTATTTCTTTCTCTTTTTAGCCGAATTTTGGTGTTAACTTGGCTTTGTTGTTGTTGCTTGTGTGGTTGCTTAGATTTTTTGAGACAGCTTCTTGTATGTAGTCCAGGCTGACCTGGATGGAACTCAGAGTCCTTCCAACTCCGCTTCTGCAACGCTGGGATTACAGGTGTACACTACTTTCCCTGCTAGTGTTGATGTTTAGTTTAAAACTTTACCAACTAGTTTGTTTGTAGGTGAATAACATACCAGACCGCACACATGGACATGTCTGAGTTCACCAGTGGCCATTCCCAGATGTGTCTATTGATCCGTAAAGGACTCCAGACTTCTGTGGAATACTAAGACTGCTTTCAGTTCTCTTGGGAAGCAGAGTTTAAGGCCTGTCAGCATCACTGAAACTCTTATGCTATTCTAGGTGACTGTTTTTGGTCATGAGTTTACACTGATGCTATTTAAAATAGTACAATTTTCCCAAGTTTCTAGTCATTATCAAACTGGTCTGGACTTTCTTCAAAGGTAATTGTCTTGCCTCATTCTCTATTCTTTTACCAAGGTTCTGGGCTACTTTTGTTTTCTTGCTTAATCTTTGAGAGACTTTTTTTGAGTATCAAAGAGATGCCAACATTGATGATATGAGAAAGTTAGGTAAGAACCCTTGACTCATAAATTTTTACTAACTGTATTTCTAAAAATATATTTACACTATTATGAGTTTAAGTGACAAAAAGTTATGAAGACAAGGTGTTATTCTAGAAAGATTTGAGCACTTATTCAGGGCTTTTTAAGCAATTTTTATTTGCATAGTCCAGGGAGCTTATTGATTGAGTCCATAATTGAGTCCATAATAGAGACTTTCTTAGTATTTTTATCTCTTTCCTGTTATTAAAAGTGCAATATATATATATATATATATATATATCCAATTATTTGATTAACATCACTAAATATCCATAGAGATTATGTTTTCTTATCGTTCAGTCTTTAGAACCTAACACAGCATATCATAGATACCTAATAAATATTAATAGGCAAGGAAATGTGCTTCATAACTGACTGTTATTTCTTGATGAATTCAGACCAAAAAGTAAGAATTCACTGCTTGGTTTAATGTGCTTGTGCTCTGGGTTTTATCTATTATGAACTATTGAAATTTTTTCATTACTAGAAATTGAACCCAGGGGTATTGTACCACTGAGCTCCTTTTTTTTTTTTTTTTCCCCCCCTCCGGTACCAGGAACCGAACTCACGACCTTGCGCTTGCCAGGCAGGCGCTTTTGCCACTGAGCTAAATCCCCAGCCCCTAATTTTTGAAACAGGTTCTCTCCAAGTTTCCCAGGTGTTCTCATGCCTCAGCCAGTGCTGGGAATATAGGCATGAGTCAGCATACCTGCCTTGAGCTATTAAACTTTTGTCTACTTTCTTTTATCATGGATTGTATCTTACTTACTTTTCTCATTGCTGAAACAAACTACCGAACACCCAAAGTTAAGGGAGGAGAGGTATTTTAGCACACAGTTTGTAGAGGTTTCAGTTTGTAGTTGGCTGGCTCCAAGGCAGGGGGGCCTGGCAGATGGGCATTACAGAGGAGAAACAGTTCATGGCAGGCAGAAGGCAGCACAACAGTTCACAAGCCAGAATAAATAGCAGCTTCTCTTTGCCCCTTTTGTCTTCTCTCTAGGCTACATGGCTTAGGGTGAGTGCCAGACCGAGCAGTGGACTGATTTAGTAGTCACACACCCTTGATCTCAGTACAACACACTCTAAATCCAGCCAGCTCTGAAAAGCACTCCCCATGACTTCATGAGGCTTTGGCAGAACATCAAGACACAAGCCACAGCAGCCTGTAAATTATGTTATAATTGAAAGATTGCACCTTGTCTAAACTGCATTGATGAACAAAATTTGTTGTTTATAATTACTTATAAAATAAATTGGTACTGTTTAAAAATACGGCTTTTCTTAAACCAAATCAGACATTCATTGGTTGAATTTGTAACTGTACATCTCAACTTTTTCTTTGTATACTGCAGGAATTGCTCTACAGTCAATAACAGGCAGTCAATGTAAGTACCTTTAAAAACAAAATGCTTGAGTCATTTTGTAACTTGGTATACCTAAGGAATATCGATGGTATCCTAAGGGATATCGACTGAGACTCATACTTGGTCAGATAAACTACATGATAAATTACACCTGTTTGTTAAAAGCTTGGAAAGGCATGTGGTCAGATTACTACTGGTGTGAATCTACTATGAGCCGACTTTGCCTGGGTCATTTAGCTCTTCCTGATCCTTATGTTTCAGATTTATATCTCAAGATAATACTAGTTACAGAGTTAGTAGGGTCAGTTCAAAACTTAAAGACTTTGTACTATTTAGATTCTGTCTGAGGGCTAGAATGTCTAATGTGTAGAGTCTACTTAAGATACCAGTAGGGTAACATAGTATTTAGTACATATATGACCCAGGTTTACCTATGGTTGATGATCTAGCTTTTTTATTCCAGCAGGAGAAAGTGTCTACCTGCTTCCTTTACCTGTTCATATGTCCTATTTAGCATGTAAAGGTTTATCTGGCTAACAGTCTGTTCTTTGTAGCCATACCTTTTTGTTAGGTGTGAGTTGCCATTTTTAAAAAATTGCCAATGATTGATTGACTGATTGATTGAGATGGGGTCTTACTGTGTTGCCCAGGCTGGCCTTAAACTCCCCAGCCTGCAAGATTCTCTTGCCTCAGCCTTCCTAGTAGCTGGGACTACTGGTGTATACCACCAAATCTTGCTTTTTAATTTCCACTTACATGCTTTTTAAATGGTAATTTATATTTCATAGTTAAAATTACTCTTAAGGAAACCACACCATGAGTTTGGAGTTAATTGTTGGACCATCCATGATGATATTTTGAGACAGGGGTATTATCTCTGGGGTGTTATCAAGAAGTATAGTGTTCAAGAAGTTATATAATTGAGAGCTGGTGACTTTCTTAAGAAAAAAAGAAAAAAGTTGTTTTGGCTTCTCCTGATCTTTGTTTCAGATTTATATCCTAAAATAGTACTAGTTACATGGTTAATGTCAATTCTCAAAAGCTTAGTATTTAGAATCAATTTAAGTCCTACAGTATCTAATACCAAAGTCTACTTAAGGTACCAGTAGGGAACCATGGTATTTTGGTTCATGTTAATTGGTTCCAAGCTAGTATATTTACTTATTATTTAGTCATTGATAAATAACCATTGCATTTTCATCTAGTACTTGGAAAGAATAATATATATGTGTATATATATATATATATATATATATATAGAGAGAGAGAGAGAGAGAGAAAAAGAGAGAGAGAGAGAGAGAGAGAGAAAAAGAGAGAGAGAGAGAGAGGGAGCTCTTCCTGATCTATAAATGTCACATGTCTACTTACCTTTCGTAAGTAGACTCTAGATATTAGACAATCTAGCACTCAGACAGAATTTAAATAGTATGAAGTTTTTGAAGTTTTGACATTGACCCTACTAACTCTGTAACTAGTGTTATCTTGAGATATAAATCTGAAACATGAAGATCAGGAAGATGTATATATATATATATATATATATATATATATATATGCAAACATTTTTATACTTGTGATAAGAGTCTGAAATTTCTTGCATGTAGATTTTGAGTGTTTTATCTTTAATGCTTAGGTATTGAAATAGAAGAGTTACAGAATGAGGAAGAAGACCTAAGTCCACCCCTTATGGAATACAATATAAATGTGAAGTCAAACTCTGAAATAGAGTTAGCAGAAATGAATAAAGATGGAGCCTCCATACCCAGTGAATCTTCAACAGAATCTGTTAAAGATCTTCAAGAAGTATAAGCTTTCATTATTATTTGAATTTCAAAAACTTATTCTAGGCCTTTAGTTGTTGCATACACTGCATTAAAACACCTCAGATGACCTTAACTAATCCTTATGACAGAGCTCTCCCAGAATTTGAATTGGAATAGTTATTTCTTCACTGTTTTCTTCCATGGTCTTTCCTGCCCTAACCGTTTATTTTGCCAACATATATTGAACACTTATTATGAATAAGACACTATGCTCAGTTTCTGAGACTATGTCTTCATCCTAATGGAAGTAGATGTGGGAGGGTAGTAGAAAGAAAATGTAATAAAAAATAGAGTAGTGAGAAAGAGAAAACTGGGACATTTCATTGCCGCTTGTATAGAGGTAGAATGTAAATCATTTGCTATGGAATCTCCACATTTCTTACACATAAGTGGCAACAGTTACTGTAAAGTCACTCATTTCTTCTTAGGCTTAATCTTTCCTGGACATGAAAATGTCATTCTTTCAAAACTTTCTTCCTCCTTTGTACTCATGTGCATGTTTATAAGTGAACACCCTTCAGCTTTTTCCTTAGCCTACTTATTGACAGTATTGCTAATCCTTCATATGTCTGGTTTTTTAAAGGCAGAAAACCAAGGTTAAAATAAAAATAAAAATTAATTTTTCATAAATCTAAAAGGAAATATGATCTATGATTCCATAAGGCACAAGATATCAGTAGTTAGAAGAAACATTTTACAAAACAACCCATTATAAAGCTTGAATTACTTATTAATAAATAATTTATTTCTTATCTACTAGGCAAAAAGTAAATCAAAGAAAAAGAAAAAAATGAAGAATAAAAAGGTAAGAGTATACATAAATATAATGGAACGATATCTGATTATAAACACTTGAGTTTAATCATGTACTCATTGTTAAAACTTAAATTTCTCTAGATAGACACAAAGTACGAATGATTGAATAGCTTAATTGAATATATGATTATAGTCTCTTTATTATATCTTGAGTGGTTTAAATATGATCTCTATATTATAATATAGTTTCTATATTATATCCCAGTTTGTATATTTGAATATACAAATAAGTGGACTGAATTAGTCACTTAGAAATTTCATTAAGTTTTGCATACCATTGTCATTTTGAAAATGCTTTTCATTGTTTTAATAACAGCTTCTTTTTGTCAGATCTCTCCTATGTTCAGAAACATTTTTTAAAACCTTAACAAATCTTCATTTTCTTCATGTCTGAAGGTCTTCCATCAATACACTACTGTACCAAAGAATGGTACAGATAGATGCTTCTTTCATTGCTTCTTCCTCAGTATTTGCGAGTTGCAAAACAAACAAGTCATTTTTAAGAGGATAATTTTATCAGAAAGTCTCCTGGTTGCTCAGAGAAATACAAGGGAAAATGAACGACTTTTTAAAATGAAGCCTGTGGCTAAATGTTATGCTATACAAAGTGTAGAAAAAATGTTAAATTTCTAGTCTGAAACATATATAAATGTTATCTCTCATAAGTAAATCAAATTATATTGATTATATGAAATTTAGATATCTCTTATATTATAAACTAAGTGATTGTAGTTTGCCCACCTATAATCTGATGAGAACATGTTATTAGTCATTTGGAAGAGCATACAAATTTTAAGCCTTAATGAAATGATAAAATCAAATTTTCAAAATACTTACTGAGATCAAAACAAAATAAAGATAATTTATTCTCTAATCTGGTAAAATCAATATCATCATTTTTCCTAACCATCATTTATTATCACTTATTTCACTCAAAATTTATTTGAAAATTGCATTTTATATTTAAAGACATGATTTTTTAAATAGTTCTTACCCAATAAAAATATAATGTAGTTTATTAGAATTAGTGATTTGTTTTATTTTTGCCGCAATATTAGTAATTTCCAGGTCTGAACACTGCATTCAGTTTGCCAAGTAAATTCATGGCTCTCAAATTACAAAGCTAAGTTCTAAAGACATATACTGTGTCTCTTCCTTACCTCCAAAAGATTAAAATAAGGTAATGCCCAAATTCTTAATCTTCATTAAATGGAACTGTCAAATTGACATTTAACAGAAAACAATACAACTAAAAATCAGTGTAAACAACACTCAAAAATCTATACCTACTAATATTATAATATCTAAGACCTTTTTGTTTTTTGAACATTCTACGATTTTTTCCATTGTGTTCTCGTTAATTATTTTTTGTAATATATATACCTAACAGTAATCCTAAAAATACCTATCAGGGAATCTGGAAGAATATGAAGAAAAAGTAAAATTTATATAGCGAATAGAAGGGATAGTATAGATAGCTTTTAAATCATATATATAGAGAGACTATATATCTACTCTATATATTCCCTTTCTTCAGTGAGGTATTTAGTATTTATTTAGCTTCTAATATGTCCAAATTATAAGTAACCTATTTGGAGTTAATTAGATCCTTCTGTCTCCCACCCAGAATTAAAGTGGGCAAAAGAATAGAAGGCTCTTGCAATGAATCCCTAGGGAAAAAAGAAAGAAAGAAACAAAATGGGAAACAAATCCAGCTCTTCCGTCTGGGTGCCATCTCAACAAGGGAGAAGTCACAGAGATGCTTTTAAGAGAGGTTGCTATGGATTGGCATAAAGTTATCATGGGAAGAGCTAATGTGGAGTTTGAGAAATAATCATGTCTATGAGATATGTTCATTATAAGTACCCAAAGTTCTTTTCAAGTCAGGTATTCAAGTACACTGGAACCAGTGTAGGAGTTGGTGATTCTAAGTCATCAAATCAAATTAGTCCTGAGCATTGAACATGTCAGTGACCTGAAACATAAAAATCTTACTGCTAAGAAAAGAAACATAAATTTGTATTTGTAGCAATTTCTTACTGTGGAGGAAACCCTGAAGTTTCTTGTAGCCAAGAGATGGTAAAAATTAATATGTTATTAATTTAATACGTTTTGTCATTGATATTATCTTTACTTTGTATATTGCTTCTGTAGTTTTACTTTAATGAGCATAAAATTTAGGGATTTTAAAGATTTCCTTCCAATTATGATTGTGACACTTCTTTTCAAAATGTAAAGGTCTTAATTTATTAGTCCAATTTTTATTTACATTGGAGTTTCTACAGATTTTTCTAGTTAGTGTAGGACTAAGTAGGAATTATACATACTCTGTCCCAAGGCTTACCAGTAGGTACAAACTTAACCCAATATCCACCTTTATTATCTGAATCAGTGATTTTCAAGTTACATGTCATGACTCAGTAGTAGATTATAAAATCAATTTAGTAGGTCACAAATGCCATTCAAAAAAGGAAGTACAATAAGTGGGAATAAAAAATACTACAGCCTCAGTTCATCACGTGCAATATGGGTATCTCGTGGAATTCTTATTTCAGCTTTCTGCTCGTAATTAAAGATATTTAAGTAAATAGATGTATAATATTATGATATGAAAGATATTTCTTTTTTGGTTGTGATAAAAATGTTTTAGAAACTGACCTAAAAATACAGACATACCACTATGCTGTGTTGATATAGTTAACATAATTAACATATTCTTGGTGCTATTTTTCAGAGTAAGGACTCAAAAGAAGAAAAGGTGTAAGTATTAGTTTAATTGTTAAGGTTTTTTTTAGTATTTTTAAAGTATGCTTTTCAATAATATAGTCTTCTTTTGGGAAGTGTTCTCACTAAGAAAAGGTAGTTCTTTGTCTTAATAAGTTGCTGCAATTTTAGAACATTGCAAAAAGTTAAATTATTTCTTTTGAAAGAATAGTCTCTTACCATTTTTTTCTATGCAGATATTCAAGTTATCTAATGCTCAGTGCTTCCCTTGAAGGATTAAGTTGAGTTCTTTTCTACCCAATGTTATGTTGGCCAAATCTAGATAGAAACTTAACTCTCAAGCATGATTCACTGTTATTTCCCAGTAACTCCTTTTACAAAAGAGTTCAGATTTTTAAAAATCTCAGTTCTTGACAGTGAAATAGAAATGATTTAACATCAAAAGAGCACTGTAAGGTATATTGTCCAGCCATGACTGATGACAGTATATTAAACAACGAAAACAGGAGGCAGTCTAGGGGCGGTATCATTCCCACTGGAAGTCAGTAACTGAGTGTTAGTGACTTTAGAGAATTCCAAGTACATGAATTAAAATGACAGCAAGAATGTACTTTTTAACTTTAAAGCTGTCATTTGTGGTAGATCATGGATAAAATAGTTCATCAATCAAAATGTGTTTTCACTTCTTTTGACAAAAGGTTGAATCATTGGAGCAGTCATTTTTCTCCCATCAGACTGTATCTACATGCCATATAATACTGAAAGTGTCATTTGTAGTTTTGATCATTTTGCTTACGTTATACATCCAAATTTGGAAGATGATCAAACCAGCCAGAAAGCTTTTTTTTTAAATGAGAATTTTCAGATACATGCAAAATTAAAGAGAATAGTATGTGTATAATAGTATATATGCCTATCATCCCAATTTAATAATTGTCACTGCACTGAACATTTGTTTTATATTTCTCTAGTATTTTGTTCTTTAAGTATTTTCAACTCCAAACCTCACTGTAATTTCATCTTTTTTTTTTTTTTATTTTATTTTAAGGATAAAAGGAGGGAAACATTAACAGACATACAACATTTTACAACATATCACAAGCACAATACAGACAATACAGAGTTACAAACA